GAGCAATATGGAAAATCACTGGTACCAAAGGCAACAATCAGAGGGACAAGGAGCCAAGTCAAACACTGCGCCCCAGATTTGAGGGTCTAGATCGCACCAACAAGAGAAGAAAGTAATCTCCCCACGCAGACACCAGCGAGGTCGGGCCCCTCCTCGCTCAGCTGGTGGGGCCCGGAGTGAACTTCCTGCAGCCTAGCAGGGGAGGCGCCCGCGGCTGATGACTAACAGTGGCTGATACCAATTCACCGCTTTGAAAACAACATGCCCAAAGATGCGACCAAGCACGAGGAATCGCGCCTCCACCGGTGGGTCCCTCGCGGAGAGCGCGCGGCCCCCGTCCCAGCCGAGGGCCCTGCTCCGCCCACGCGGTGACAGGGGAGCGCCTGGCCCTCAGCCGCCGCCACCGCGAGCGGCCCTGCGGCGCTGGTCCCTCCGTGCGCGGACCTGGGAGGCTCCCCAGGGCTCCCCGTCTCCCAAGCGACGTCCGGCACCACCTGCGGGAGGCGCCCCATCCTCCCGGGAACAGAGAGCCCACCTCGGCAAACCGTACACCTCAGGATGGAGATGCCTGACAGCGGGTTCCCCTGGGCACAAAGCGGGGCTGATCCTCTCCGGGACACTCACGGGGGAAGATGGGGCGTCATGCGCCCAGGCACCTGTGCCCACCTTTGTCCAGCCTCCTCAGAGATACCAGATGGGCCAAGGGTTCGGACGCGGCCCACGCCCGGCGTGCGTTATTGGACGCTCGACCCGCCCCACCCCCGCCGTTGCCCAGCCCCTGGCCCCGAGCCCTTTGCCGCCCAGCACTCCCGGAGCTCACCTTGTCCTCGGGAACCGCCGTTTCCCGCGCTCGGACCAGATTCAAAACCGCCCGCCCGCGCGCGCGACGCGTTCCTCTCGCTCGCGCGTCACCAAGCGTTGCTCTCGCGAGAGCCAGGCGCACCTGGGTGGGGCCAGTCGGGAGCGCACGCCTCCAACCATGCCTTGCCCCGCCCACAAGCTCCGTCCCGCACCCCCGGCCCCGCCTACGAGCTCCGCCCACACGCCGCGTTCCCGCGGGTGCCCAACCCCAGTGGCAGGCTCCGGCCCCGCCTTTTCTGCGCCAGCTAGGATCCTGGCATTCTTACCCTGATATCAAAATTAGTTTTACCGTTGGCTTAAACGAATGCAGTTTTTGACATAATTGGACTGCAAACATGGACTGCATACAAACATGGACTTCAAATAAAGTTGTGACGTCCGTCTACATATATGCAATGAAATCTGAGTACTGCCGCAAGGGGACACTCGTGTCTCCCTCTGAATCTACTTCTCATGTAGTGTATTTTGCTGGGCTCTGTGAATCACGTCTCTAGCAAAATATTATATATAAAAATCGATATTTTAGTATCCTGTGGCCATAATGCTGTATATTTGACAACTTTCACATGTGTCAGGGATAAAAAATCAAAACCATATAAATTGTAAGTATTGATTAAATTTGAAACTAAAAATTTTTTGAAGCACACTTCTTAATGCTATGCTTAAGACTTTTAAAAATCAATTTGTTTCCCAGGCTGAATACTCTGATTCTTCATGTGTATAGATGTAAATACAGAGAAAACTTGTTCACATAAATAAAGGCAACAGAAAATACATTAATAGCAACATCACACAATTCCTTAAACATATTTTAGTAAAATACCAAAAATCACACACTATCGTTAATTTCCATTAATTCCATTTGTATCAGCTAATAACTTGATTGGGCTTTCCTTCACTTTTTGTTGAAAGCAAAAACTTGGAAACAACCTGAATTTCACAGATTTTTCTTATCCAGTCACTTGAAATCATTCACTTTTTCAAATTCCAGGGAGTTTACCAAGACCTTACCCAGATACATTATGTTGCTATTAACTATATCAGTTACTTTTTCATTTCAAGGCACTTTTGTCGATACATTTTTTATTTTTTTGACTTTTATTTATTTTTAGAGACGGGAGGGAGGGAAACATGGATGTGAGAAACACCAGTCGGCCACCTCTTACACCCACCTGTCCTGTGAGGGACCTACCCCGTGACCCGGGCACGCGCCCTGACCAGGAATGGAACCTGTGACCCTTCTCCCTCACATTGATTTCTCTCTCTCTCTCCTTCTTCCTCTCTCTCTAAAAGCAAGGGAAAAATGTCTAGTGAGGATTAAAAAAAAAACAAAAAACATCTTACAACGTGGCAATGAGAAAAGATTTTTATAGAATTAAAACAAGACCCTATGGCAAAGCAACATAAACTAAGGCTGAAGCTGTTTGCAATATATACAGGAAAGGCTATAAATCTGGCTAAAATAATATCTTCGGTAATAAACCAAGTATAAAGTTCAATTTTTGAAAAAATTTATTTTTATTGGGCAAGTAACAGTCACATGGCTCAAACTCAAAGGAAACCACTGTTATCCTTTTCCTTAATACCCTTCCAGAAATATTTTCTGCGGAATAAAAAAAATACAAAGTGTGTAACCTAATCATAATTGTGACTGGGGAAACGAGCTATAAGAGCTGGCCACTAGCTTAAAATTTAAACACTTCATATAGGGCTGATTTGAAGGAGCACTTCTCAGGAACTCTGGGTGTAACCCACAGGGTGGGGCAGAGTAGGGCTGGGCTGTCTGTCCCTGGCCACCTAGAGAGCTAAACAGGACACTACCCCACAGCTTGAGTCATGGATTCCGAGAAAGAGGGGCTCCTGGCTAATCAGGAGGTAGCTGCAGAGACATTTCCTTCCTTTTTGTGGTTTTACACTGTACCATCTCTAAAAGTTTGAACTGGGAAATGTGAATGTCTTCAAACAATTATGGAAAAAGCAGAAGTAATTGGAAGCTTGAGGCCCACACCTCTGAGAACCCTACAGAGGCCTCTCTACCTCTGGGAGCTGGGCCAAAGGGTTCTGCAGGACACCTGCTATGCCCCAGATTGAGTGACCCTGTCAGGGGAACAGGGGGAGGGGCGGAGCAGGGAGGGGAGGCTGGGCGTCTGCTGTAGGAGCGCCTCCTTCTGTCTGCCCCTCTTTGGTGCAAGCGGACTCAAGGCGGAGTGAGGTGAGAGACAGGTGAGCTGGGCGCACAACAGACCAGGGCTCTTTGGTGTTCATCCTTCACCTCCCTGGGCTGTAGTTCCTCAACACCATTCCCCACCTTTCCTTCAGGAATCTGCATGTGCCTCCTGACATGACAACCTTGGGAAGATTGAAGGGGAAAAGTGAGCTATCGACCTTCCTCTTCCTCCTGGTCCTTGGGGAGGGCAGCACCTCCTGGGAAGACCACCTCAGAGCAGGGTAACTCAAGGAGGGAGATAGGCGGTCAAGGGTAAGCATTATCAGCCACAGCCCATTAAGAGTACCTTGAGCTGCATATAATAAGAGGCCTGCCTACCCCATGGCTGGTGTGGTTCAGTGGACTGACCTTCAGCCTGTGAACCAAAGGGCTGCTTGTTTGATCCCCAGTCAGAACACATGCCTGGGTCACAGGCCAGTTCCCCAGTAGGGGGTCCATGAGAGGCAAGCACACTGATGTTTCTCTCCCTCTTTCTCTTCTCCCTCTCTAAAAAAAAAAAATGCATAAAGTCTTTTTTTTAAAAAAAGGGTATAAAGTTTAGGCCTTCTCCAGGCCAATTAGGTCAGACGATTGACGGGTAGAATTGAGTGTATTTTTTAATTGGTATTAGAGCCCCCAGGTGCTCCCATCATAAAGGTTAGAACTCAATCTCAGAAAATGGGGAGGAGTCTGTGACACAAACATACAGTCCAAAATGCCAATGTGCCCAGGTCACGCTGAGCCCCAGTGACCGTCTGTGGGGCAAGGTGCCTTGTCAGCATCCCTCTGAGCCAGACCCCCAACACAGGACAAGCTCACCATCCTCCCAAAAGGTGGACACAACCCAACGTCCTCCAATAGACAGATGGACAAACACCAGGGGTCTATCCAAACCCTGGAGTATCACTCAGCCATGAAAAGGAACAAGGCTCAGACATGGACAGTGGGCAAGGGGCCCAGGGCAGGACCCACTGGAATTGAAACTGACAGCCCATCCTAAAGGACTAGGCAAACTAGAATTTAGCTTTTACTTAAAATTATTAAATTAGCCCTTCTTAGCTGCATGTTAGGCAGTCCTATGCTGGAGCCTAGAAACCTGCCTGTGGGGCAAGTGAGGAGGAAGATGTAACAATACACTTTGGATACACTTTGCTTAAGACAATAGAAGAACGTAGCCTGCTAAGCACAAGACTTGCAGCTTTGTTTTATTCTGTTAAGGTAATAGTGCTCAGAGTCCTAAGATGCCTTGCAGAACTCTAAGCAGGAAGACTACCTGACCACAGTCACGAGGCCCTGGACAGGGTGCTGCCGAGAGTGACATAAATCAGACAAAGGGAGTTTCTGAAGTTGACAAGAGCTGACTGATCAGCAGAGCCCACGGAGCCCAAGCCCCTTACTCATGATTCTTTTCCTTTAAAACCCCCGATTAGAAGCCACTGGGGAGCTGGAGTTTCAGGTGATGGCTTCCGTTTTCCTTTTGTGGCCCCTGTAATGAAGCAACTCGAATTCTCCCGCTGCTGCTCTCGGTGCTCAGGGAAGGCCCTGCCCAGCCAGTGCCCGGCAGACAAAGGTGACAGTCGCCCCAACCTCAGCAGTGGACACACCAGTGTTTCCCCTCCAGTGTTCAGAACAGCCTCTGCTTCGTTACTTATCGGTGCTTTGGATGTAAGGCACGTGTGAGGACCATATTTTCTGCTCACAATCATCTTCCAGAAGAGTGGTTTCCAAAACTCAGAGTCTGAGGTGGGTGGATGAGGGTCTGACTAGGATGGAAAAAGAGGAGCGAGTGACTGCAGCCACCAGAGGTGGTGCTTTTGAAAATGGAATAGGTCACAGAGAGCTAACAAACAGTATCCTGCACTCACTTGTCAGAGGATGAGGGTCCCACACTGGAATTTTCATTTCAAAAGACAAAGGAGGAACAAGTCACAAGTGAGCTGACGTGAAAGTTTTATTGAACACATATGTGTGCTGTCACGAGACCTCAGCTGATACAGTGGACCCTCTCCACCCAGCAGAACACCTGCTGCAGCTTCCCACTGGCAGCAGGGACCCCGGGGGGAGGGCAGAGTGACAGCCGCAGTCTTGGGCACACCCAGAGTTGCGTGTGTACACAGAGCTGCCGTTGGTGCAGGTTCCCGAGAAGGCAGGGACCGGCTCTGGATGCAGGGCGTCTGTGGCAGGAATTCTCGCAGTACAGAAGGGCAACTCTACAAGGGCCTGTTTTCATCTGAAGTTTGAAAACAACACATTTGTACTTCTGTGTTTTAAGGCACAGGACTAGCAACCCACACGGACAACCAAAAGGGAATTCAAATTCAGTTAAGCACGTGTCCCTGCACTGCTTTGGCTCAATGTGGAAAAGCTTAATACCCTTTCCCAGGTGAATCAACCAGAAGGAACTAGAAGTGAGCATTCTGAGGGCCCGGAGCCTCCTGCATCGCCAGGGCCCTGCAGCACCAAGTCAGGCCTCCCTGGTGGTTCTTATGCTTCCCCATGGAAATGAGAGCTTCCCTTTGAACACTCTTGTCACCAAATTAAGTCAGAATCACATCGGCGAGGTGTTTCAGCCCCTCAGAACCACCCTTCCTCTGCTCCTTCCCTGTGAGAGGCCTGGGAACCTGCAGGTGGCCATTCTCAGGGGGCAGGCATCCTGTGGCCAACAAGCTTTGTTTGGATTTTTTGCCTCATGTTATGTTTATTTCACCCAATTGCTTAAAATAAACAATCCATCAAGTAAAATACACATTGAATGGTTGAAGCTGCAAAAGCCAGAAGTTTTAAGATGTTGGTAGAAATTATTGATGCGCTGAATCCCAGTGAGCGTTTCTGCCTTATTGATCCCTTTCACAGACCTGATGTTAGAAATGTCTTCAATAAACCACACGTCACGGGCAGGGAACCGGACTGAGTAATGTCCAGTCCTTCTCCAGCTGCTAAAATACCAGCCGTGTGCCCTGTGTGCGCACAAGTTCACGTGTTACCAGGATGCTTGTAAGCTTCCCCCTGCACACCACACAGGAGACCGTGGGACCGGATGGGTCTTTTCGACAACCTGAAATGCGCTGTGAAACAGGCAGCTCCAGCATCACCACCCCCACAGTTCAGGAGCAAAGGGGAAAGAGCCAAAAGCCCTGAAGGGCAGTGGTGTGCGGGGTGGCAGGCGGCCACACGGGCACCTGGGCAGCCCAGTCTGAGCAGCCCGGGGCCACGAGGTGCTTGGCGGTGAGAGTGCACACCTCAGTCCCAGAGCTCCTTGCCCGACGCATCACTGAACTCTAGGGGTTCTCACAGTCCGAAGGCACGCAGCACGTTCTCTGCACGTGTGCATCCTCCACGGACCCACACACACGGCTCAGGACACGGCCACTGACACTCGAAGGGATACAAAGCATGCTTTTAATAATCTAGTGAGAAAAATATATTCCAAAGTAAAAACTGTGTGACAATGTTGTGATACTGATATCAGTTGGTAGGAAGTAACTTTGGAAACCCAGGAAGCGGAGTCGCCCCCAAATGCCAGCTGCTGGCACCCTGGGTCCTGGGGGGCCCGGCATGAGGGCAGAATGGAACCGAGAGCCAGCTCAGGCCCCATCCTGTGTTCGCCCGTGCCACACTGAGGAGTGGGTGCAGCAGCGATCGGGAGAAGCCCCTCCCCGTCTGCTTACCCCAGCCGACCTGGCAGCCTGCAGGGTGGCAGTGGGAGCTGGTCTCCCCTCACAGGCCAGGAAACACGGGCAATTACCAGCGCTACTGCACCACAGCCTCGCACGGACCCTGACCATCTGGGTTGCGTTTTAAAAAAAGTGCAGTTGTGTGTCGTTGCACTACTTCATGAACAAGTTACGACAAGCAGTTAAAAACTTCCAACGTCTCCACTTTATGTAAGGTGTTTCAGATCAGTACACTGTGACTGTGGAACCCTCCAGCAGCCCCCATAATGGTTTATGCAGCTCAGCTGCACCGCCTTCGCCCTTACAAGCACTGCAGCTTCTCAGTAACGCATCTTCGTGGTCACGGAAGTGTTAATAGTTTTAATACTTTCTTTCATTGATAGTGGACAGAAATATACTAATATTTCATAATCTTTCAGCTTTTCTTTTAAAAAATAAGCAGCACAAAATAAGTCACTGAAAACTTTTTCCTGCAAAGACAAAAATGATTATTTGTCATAAGAATTTAGAAGAAAATATATATATTTCCTTAAGCCATTTTCTTCTGAATTCAAACCAGCACGTAGAGATTATAAAAAATAGAGTCTATTTACATGGCACGGTGCGCCCCAGGGACACACAAAACGAGGCGACAACAAAGCTCACACTCGGACCCGCCTCCCAGACAGACAGCTTCCCCCACCCACCGGTGCCTGCTGCCCTACTAGGGGCTGTGACAGCTGCTGACACACTGGAGGGAGTCAAACACACAAAACTGAACAATAACATCGGCCAAATATGCCTCAAATGTCCACGTTTTATAAAACGAGTAAGGCATGTCCAGCGAAGAACAAGAAGTATAAAAATAGCGTCGGTGAGTGGGGGCGGGTGCCTTCCTGCGCGCAGGGCGGGGCCGACACACCAGGGAGCGCGACGGGCCCGGCGCGGCCTACGTCACCACGTGTGGTCTCATCCCGTCTTCCGTGAGGTCATACCTGAGAGCACGGGGAGAGGAGGGCAGACAGGCGGTCAGGGGGACAGTGTCAGCAAGCAGGCGGGGGCTCTCTGCCTCGAGGCTTGCCGCCGGCACCGGGACACTCACCACTGGGTCCAGCCTTTGGCGAGCTCGTCCGACGCCAGAGCAACCAGCACCTGTGGGTCAGAGAGCGTCAGTGAGCACAGGCTAACGGTGCCCCTTGGGCGCCGCCCCCCGCCCCCCCCATCTCCCCAGCCTCGTCCTGTCTCCCTCCGGCTGCTGTGTGCAGCTCTCCTTTATTTTCAGCCTCTCATTTTCCAGACAGCTCTACCCCAGGGAGCACCTGTGAACTAGCAGGTGGTCGACCCTGGCCAAGCGGTCCTTCCTGAGCACGTTGGTCTTTAGGTCCAGTCACTGTGAACTGTCAGGGCAGGGTCAGGGCTACAGGCTCCCGGGCCACTGAGGGCAGCGCAGATGACAAGGACTGCCCACAAACGGCACCTGCACCCAAGCCTCTCCTCCCCTTCACCCCCACACGCCTCACCAGAGACGTATAGGAGTTACATGTGGGTGGGACTAAGACTGAAAGAGTTCAGAGAAACGAGGCCCGTGATGTGTCAGGGTCAAGCACAGTTAGTTGGAGAGGCAGACTGGGAAGAGCACAGCCCTCCTTGGGGTTTTCTTTCATTGTGGTACTTGAAAAATGAACCTTTCTTCCACTACAAGTGCATGGCATTAGTGTGACTAACACGCCGACACTGAACACACGAAAACAACGAAACAACATCTCCACAACGTACGGGTGTCAGCTGATTTCAGTGTCAACCGGACCGTGGTTTCATCAGTAAGTGTCGATCACAGAGAAGTGCACCCCACACACATGTCGGGGACTGCTGAATTTTCACAAAGTGTGGGGACCCACCAAGGGTTTTCTCAAACTTACTTTGCCGAGCAGCCCCTTGTCTTTGGACAGGAAGCCGCCGCTGTTCTTCACAGCAACGTCCAGTGTCCTCCTCTGCACATCCGGTAAGGAAACGCTGAAATCGAAGCTGGGGGAGAAACGGGGCCTTCCTGCGATTTCTCCATGATCCTGCTGCAACTCATCGTAACTAAACGTGACGTTTATGCCTGCGAGACCCCTCCAAATGCTACTACACGTCTGTCACCATGAAACGGGATTCTCGTGCTATTTGTTTGGGTCTGGGGTTTCATGAAATCACAGAATCAAAGCATTTTCCATGGTTTCGAGCAGCTTCAAAGCCTGGGTGAACTGATCCAAAGTGCTCTGTGATCTGGTTTCACCATAGGAACCATCTACTCTGTGCTTTCCAGTGGCTGAAGTCAGATGCTGCAAACTGAAGTGCCTTCGGGGAAGCAAGTCGTCGTAACCCACTGGTGTGTGGCCCCCGTGCCTCGGGGTCTCTGGCAAACTGGAGGACTGAGGGCCCGTGGCCTGGGGGGCACATGGCTGAGATGTGGCCAACCCTCCCACGGAGCTGCCACAGCTAGAGACCCAAACCTGGGAGCTCAAAGTCTTCAGTGCTGCTGCTAAGCAGGAACACTGACAAACATGAGGTGCCAGCCCTGGGCCCTGGGGCCGCCACCCCAGACAAGCCACAGGGGTGGGAAGGGGCCTCTTTGAGGCCTAACTGTGAAAGAGGTTCGTGAAAACCTAAGACGATTATGCCATTCTCTTCATCAATCTTTAAATTGTTTTGGAAACCAGCTGTTTTTCATACGAATGTTATATTTTAAGATATTGCAGATTTATCATTTTAAAAAACATGTATTTTAATATCCTCAGTTTTGCTCTGAACCTCCTTTGCTCTTCAATTCCTACCAGTCTCCCCACCCAGGTTTACGGCTCATCGCTGCTGCCCAAAACCCACGGTGCTCCCGTGTCTCAGCCTGCTTGCGCCCGCCCGCCCACCGGCAGTGTCCACCCTGGTCTCAGCCCTGCGTGGACTCCCAGGCTTTAGTCCCTGTGGGGCTCCAACTGGGCCTCCCTCACTCAATCTGACAGTCGGCTGAGTCAGGGCCATACCTCTGATCAAACACAGGGTTCAGTGTTTTTTTCGACACGTGCGTTTTCCTCCTTCCCGACCTCCTCTTGTCCGGTAACAAGTACATGCGGACGTAGGGGTCGGAGCCGTCTTCGGAGAAGGCGATGAGATTCCTTGTAATGCAAAGCAGAGAACCCCAGACATCAGAGTCTACAACAGCGACAATCAGTGCCACATTCAAATGTACTACAGCCAGTCCTCAAGTAACGTCATTTTGTGATGATGTTCACAAGAAAAACACTCGTTGCACGTCCTCCTGAGTCTTCCATGGGGACCCCGGAGAGTCCAGACAGTCTGGGTGCTGTGCAGGCCTGAGTGGCCCCCCGATGGAAGGGCATCCTGTCCAGGGCTGTTCCCACCGTGTGCCCTGAGCTGCCAGCAAAGGCTCTAGTCACTGGTGACCCAAAACTGGGAGGAGTAGGTTGGAAAATTACGATCCCATTTGTTTCTATTCATCTTCCTTAAACACATGTGGAGCGTGCATCTATCTCGATGTTCAACATTAGAAGTGCTTTGGGTCTTTGCTCCAGGAGTTTGGCGATGTCTTTAAGACCAGAGACATGCCACAGGGACTTAACTGCTGTTTGGACCAGTCACATGCAGCCACTTCGAGTTACTCACTCACTGACCGACTGGGAACCTAGCTGGGGACGGTCCCATTGCCGGTCTCAGAAACAGCCTCCAGTTCCCATCGGCACAGCGACTCTCTCAGTAGCAAGGTTATGTAAGGGGCTTGATCGTATGTGCTGAAGGGAACTCTACATTTATGCAGTCATGTTTCTAAACACCACCGATCTTATTGTTCTGTTTCCGACAGCTTTTCGTAAGGTCCATACACTTACATAAACACACTTATATCACAATCGCTACGAAGATAGACAAGTCACGTAAAGGAAAACCTCTCCCGACCACCATCCTCAGTCAAACACACAAAGCACACCGTCCCTTCGGTCACACCCTCTGAGTTGGAACACAGCACACGAACACTGGCCCTTCCCGACCGTGGGGAGGTCTCGGGGGCCGTGGGTGGTGGGACACTCACTTCCTCGAAAGGCAACAGCGGTGCCTGTTGTGACCCGTCAACTTCTGGCCCCTCTGAATTTATGTAAATTTACTACTCCTCAAAACTTAATACCCCCCAAACACTGCAATAAAAGTATGTGCCCCGGCCAGTGTGGCTCAGCTGGGTATCCTCCCGCCAACCAAAAGGCCGCCTGTTCGACTTCCGGTCGGGGCACAGGCCTGGGGTGCGGGTTCGGTGCCTGGTTGAAGTGCGTACAGAAGGCAACCGATCGATGTTTCTCTCTCACATCAATGCTTGTCTCATCTCTTTCTCCCTCCCTTCCCCCTCTGAAAATCAAAAATTCAAAGAGCAAACATGTTTGTTGTCCAGTGCCAGTAACCGACCATCTGCACACCCACAGCCCGAGGGAGAGCCGCCGAGTGGTGGTGAAGGGTAGGAACCGACCCAGAGAGGGACCCAGAATCAAAGCCAAACTCCAGGATCACCGCGCAGGGAGCCCCTGAGAGGCCGCCCGAGGCAGGCCGGCGCCGCTCACCTGCAGGCGTGCACCACCACCACCAGCTTGTTTCTCTGCGAGCTGTGCCGGATGGTCAGCTGGATCTGCCCCAGCGGAGACTGTCCCAGCGTCGTCCCGCTGAGGAAACAAAGCAGGGGTCACAGCCGCCCCAGGCCCCGCATCCCCACGACAGCACAGAACGGTCACGCTCACGAGTGCGGACTGGAGAGCATCGGATCACCTAGACACCTTCGAACCTCTGAGCATAAACCAACCCGTTACGCCCCTGCTTCAGTGGAAGGCTGGTGTAACGTAATTATTCGAAACCGGCAGTTTTCCATTTAGGGTCCGAAGTAAAACGAGACACGGGGGACTCCCGACTACAAACCCTGGTTCTCTGGTCTTCGGGCCTGTGGCGGCCCAAATCTACGTACCCTTTCTCAAAACCCACACCAGTCCCTGGCTCTGTGGTTCACCCACAGGACATCTGATGACACTGCAACGTCCCCTTCAATGTTTCTCTCTCTTGAGGTCAAAGCACAGACTCTAACAAAGGCAGTCCCCCAAGACTATCTCGGCTGCTCCCCAAAGTCAGCTCCTCAGAAAAAGTGGTTTCTTATTAAAATTCTACTTTCTTCTAGAGCAAGAGAGGAGGAGGGACTGATTTCTTTTTCACAAAAGAGTGGATGTGAGCAGGTGCCAAGGAGACAAGCATCTTGGATGCGGTCACGGGAAAGACAGACCTGTGCCTGCACCCTGACACCGGCAGCACACGTCTCCCCTCTGCCCCCCGGTTGCTCCTCACGCCGCTCTCAGCACCACCAAGAGAAAGAGCTATCTCCAGGGCAACTTCCTTCTGCTGAGAGGAAAGGCTAACATCTGAAGCTTCTGGTGCCTGCAGACTGTGGTTTCCTCTAGGAACCATGGGGTTTTAAGAAGTCAACACCAATATCCAAAGACAGACAAGCAGCAGCTGGGGGCCAGCAGCGGGGTGCTGAGTGAAGAGAAGAAAAGAGGAGGCCCTAACCCTGCACAAGGCGCCAGTCGCCATGGTCAGGGGCAGCAGCAGGTCAGCTCTGGACTCTGCCTCTGGTCTGAGGACAGGCGTGCAGGAATGCCACAGCCCCTGTGTTCATGGGACCCAATTCCCCACCGCATTCTAACGCTTAAGTGAGCCCGGGCCCTGGGAAATGGCATGCTTCACTTTGCAAGGGCACCGCCCCCAAGCTCCTTTAGCTGCGGTAAGCCGTAAGCCGGCGCCTCCACAGCACATGGGGCATGTGGCGACTCAGCAAGAGCAAAGTGTGTGTCTAGTTACTTCTCAAGCTGCCGAAGCCTCTGCCGAAGCTCCTGCGTGGCGATGGGCAGCGATATGTCCGAGGCTATGCTGGGGGTGGGCTCCTTGACAAAGACGTGGCTGGGGGAGCAGGTGGCGCCGACCTGCAGGCTGGAGGAGCTTCGGCCCAGGTCCCATGGCCCCTGAGGGCTGGCCTCTGCAGGCGGGGCTCTCTCCTCCAGGCCAGGCTTCAAAGCGCCCCCAATGACGGGTGTGGACGGGGCCGGGCTGCTGTCACCAGCGCCTGGTGACCCAGACATCTGAGACCGGACAGATATTTTCCTCCCTTCTTTGGAAACTGAGGGTCGCTTTACTTGAGCTGAGTGTTGGTGGTCCGGAGACCTGTCTTGCTTTTCCAGGTGGAGTACCTAGACGTGGAAAGAAACACAGTTAACAAAACAATCAGTAACACTGGTAACAGCCTGATATATTTATTCAGAGATGTTTCCTTAAAACTTGGCACAGAGCATTACAAACAATCTGGTCTGTCCAGCTATTCTATCGCTAAAGTAATACAATGTTACGTAAAGCTTTTAAAAAGAAAAGTTTAAGTAACCAAAGTATCATTTTTATGATGTGAAAGTTGTTTCTGTGTGTTCTCTTCAGCCTCTTCCACTGGCAGATGTTACTGCACGGTCGTGGCTCACGTTGTGGCTGGAAGAGAGCTGCACACCTGGCACAGGCCCAGCTCCGCACCCGGCACAGGTGGTCTCCACAGCAGTCTTGTGGAAGGATGCGAGTCAAGGACACCTCTACCCAGCAAGGTTACCCCAGATGCCCAGCATCAATGGAGAGGCAGCACGTGCCCTCAGCTGTCCGAGTACTTAGATCAATCACTTCAAGAATTTTTAACATTTACTTTCGATGGGTACAATGTCCCACGGAGCGGAGTCTGTGCTCCGTAAGCCCGCCCTGCACTCTGAGGTGACGGTGACAGCTGGAAGTTCATCCCACTGTTACCAAACACAGCTACAGCGAAGAGCTTCTTGCTCAGGGCCTCCCCCTTTGTGCCCTGTACCAAAAAGACTTCCAGAGAAAGGCCCCTGGTCCCAGTGGCTCTCTGACGTGCCACCTGGAAACGCTGCAGTCCTTTCGGGAAGGCTGGTCCTGGCCAGGGGCCAGGAGACCATTTCCACTGCCCCCTCCACACACTAAGTCTGTCTTAATTCTTTGAAAAAGATCACTCTCTATTTTAATGTGCATTTTTTAAATTAGTGAGTTTCATCATTCTCTCATGTTTTCCAGTTTTACCTTCAACATTTCCTTAGGTGCTTATAAATGATTTGTCTATTTTGGACAAAAAAAGCTTTCCTGTAATTTCCACCACCTTGTAGAGTTTCATTCAATTCTCTCTTCTGAAGGACTGTTAAGGATTTCATCTTAGCAGAAGACTTCACTGATCCAGACAGCAAGTTTCTGGGCCAAAGGATAAAAAGTGGCCCATGGCATTCACAGGAAGGCATAACGAATTTCACAGGCTGCACCAGCAACCCGGACGCGCTGCTCTGTGGGACGACTCCTTCCCGCCAGTCCTGGCCCTGCGACAACACCCTGACCACCGTCCACCCTGTCCTGAGCCCTGTGGAGCGGTGCTCGAGAGCCTCGCCACTGCAGCCCGTCCCTGCCCACCCTGTGCCTCCCGCGGGAGACTACGCACCCTGAGGGCAATCTTCATCTTCAGGGTGCTGTTTGGCCCTGAATTACTGAGCTGGAATCGCTGGTTAATGGTCATGTCATCACTGGCGAGCAGCCGGCTGAGCGGGATCTTCAGATTCCCCAGGGAACACTGATGCTGCTCGTCTCTGACCTGGGAAAACCACAGCACACACTGAGCACGAGGGGCAAGGTGGACACTGCAGGAGGGTCCACCCCAGTCTTTCACAAGCCCGCCCCAGCCATCTCCTCCGATGATGGACACAGTGGGAAGCCTCCTCATGTAACAGGGCACAGCCAAGAGGGGGGCCCCAAAAGGGATTTGCAATGGGGTCCAGAACTTAGGGTGTCCAGGAAATATTAGAAAGACAAATAAGACGTCCTCACCCCTTACCCCCCCCACAGGTGTCATTTGGGGGAAAGGACAAATGGAGAGGGGCCACTCAGAGCTGTTTTGCATAGCAACAGTTTCCCATATAAACTCTAGAATGGTCATTTAACATATCTACAACCTTTAACTGGTTTCATAAATATGTTAAATAGCTGTGGCCATCCTCTGAGCCAGGGGGATGGAAGTGACTTCCACTCCAGATGTAACTGGGGGCAGGTCCCCTGAGTTACAGCGCCTGAACATGGTTGGCTCCATGCCAGGGGGCCACACCTGCCCAGACTCACAATGGCAGCCCAGTAAACTTGGAATATACAGAAATGCTGGCAGGTGTAGCCGATTGTGGGAGGAGTCGGAAATGGGGCTGCAAAGGAGTACCACGCAGCTTTGTCAGAGTGGGGACCCCCACAGCCATGTAACAAGGAGGAATACCATGAGGCTTTAGCAGAGAATTGTCACTCAGCTTTGCCAGAGTGGTGACCCTACTCTCTCCGCAGCTCTGGTGGAGAGAAGAACCATGAGGTTTTGGCCAGAGTGCAGACCCCTGCAGCTCTGGTAGAAGAGGCCCACATGGCTTTGGGGGCTCCCTTTGGCCGAGTGGCCTGGGAAGCAAGAGAGATTTTGCCTGGAAAATGGGTACAAAGAACTCTTTGCCAGTAGGCCATGAGAAGGTGCCACATGGCTTTGGAGTCATTAGAGATCCTGCCTGGACAGTGACACAGCTGATGGTGCCAGCAGCCTGGAAACACGGACGTGTGCTTCTCCTGAGATATGGTACCCCAAATTAGGGCAGGGGGGAGAAGGAAGAGCTGTGGGTATCCTAAAGGACTTTGGTATTTTAATGGGGACATTGGGTCACTACTTTAAGTCTGTATAGCTTTAAATAACCCTTTCCTTTCCTTTTCACAAGTCTCTGGCATTGAGAGATGTCTTTCCTCTGGTGGCAGACAGACAAGCCCAGTAGGTGGTCAGGACAGTATTAGTATTCTGTCCTTGTGGGGGGGGCCCTGTTGTTCTCTAACAGTTTTTGGCGTCCCTGGGTGGGCCAAATATTGCCCCCCTAGGACCTCTGTTCTGCAACACTCAGGAACACAGAACACTGTAACCAGTGATGCTACAACGTGTCCACATCACGTGTCTCTGTCACTTCCCCATCACACAGCGAGGAGCACAAAAAAGAACACAACTTTTACAAATCCATTTTGAACCCAGGTGCAAGAACCCTTAACAAAACTTCAGCACATTAAACCGAATACATAGAAAGGATAGGATCTCATGACCGAGTGAGCTTATCCCTTAGTACAGGTTTACTCACGAGATTCTCTTATGTCAAACCCTGCAAATCAAATAAAGACTCACGAGGTTCAACATCTGAAAATCAACGTGTTTCACCATATTTACAAACTTAGGGAAACCCATGGTCATCTCACTAGTTGCGAAAAAATCTTTGATAAAAATCCCATATCCATTCATGCCAAAATCATCAGCACACCCGTGTCAGGGGAAGGGAATGCCCTCAAACTTCGGGCTTACTGGTAAAGCCCTAAGGTTCCCCCAAGACTGGAAGAGGCCAAGGGGTGCACTCCCGTGAGGCCCAAGGCTGCAGAGCAGGAAGGCAAGACCTGTGAGTCAGCAGCACCGGCCGGGGGCAGGGGGGAAACACAGTCGCAGAAGTGTCCTTACTCTTCACAGACAGTCCTGACGCTGCGTCCTGACACAGTCCACTTGAGGACTGAGCCACAGTCCTCAAACGAGCCAGCGGAACTAATAACGTTCAGCAAGGTTGACGCAAAGTTGACAAAAGGGTGCCAAGGCACACCCCAGGAAGTGACAAAATCCACTAAAAGTTCAAAATTTAAAAAAAAAAAAGATACTGTTCACAGTATCAGAGCCTGCAACACCGAGGGCTGCACCTGACAGAGACATGCGGACATGGTGCTGGGCCCGTTAGAGGTAAACTTCAAATTCGTGCAGCCCCTTGTGTGTGGACAGTGCCCCAAGCAGTCTACCAGGAAGGCCAACAAGATACCTCGACTTCCAGGTCCTGGCGCTTGGGATTGTGGACAAAGAAAGTGAAGTTCTCTTCCCACACAGGTTCATTGGTTTTGTACCGAATCTGAAAGAGATTCCAAAAAAATCAGCTCTGTGATATTTTCTGTGCTTACTCCTTTACTGTGCTTGAAAGCCTGGGATGGCTGTAATTAAATTCCAAGACATACATTTTACTGAGCATGTACTATTATGCATTAACCGTGGGACATGTCTAAAACCCAGAGCCCCAAGCTTTCTGAGTGCACGGGCAGACGGCTGTGGAGCCCCTGGGACGGAGGTTTCGCCAGCGCTCAGAACAGTTACAGGAGAACGAAGGCCTGGAACTCCTGACCATTCCGGAAATGCTTCCTCCTGCATCCGGAAAGTAGGACGTGCTGAGCCACGGCAGGGCCTCCCTCCACCCCCGACGGAACTGCAGGTGTCGAGTTCTATGCGTTTTCAGCACAGTTGGTTATCTTTTAAACTAAATATTTATAGAACATTCAAAGAAAACTTCCATCTACCAATGGAGTCAAGCAAAAGCATATTCATGTTAGTTTTAATGTTACTTAAAAAATGAACAGTATCTTTGTCTCCAAATTAAGGAGCTGGAGCTCTGTGAAGTGACTGACTTGGGCAAACAAAAAAGCCTCATGGGCACCAGTGGTCTGACGCCCGCCGTGCAAGTGACAGGGACATCCCAGCACTCGGGCCAGCCTCACCTTGCTCTCCTGGGCCTTGTGACCAACCGACATCTGCACCAGAGGGTTGGGGCTGCTGTTCACCTTCTTCCCCGACTGTCCAGAAACAAAAAACAGACCATGTAAATGAATGAACGTCCTGAAGCGGGCCTGTTAAAAATGAAATCATGGCTGTGTATGAACAGTCATTCCTACTTACTTCTCATCTTCAGTCACAGGGACTGAGAGGAATGAACTGGGAAAGGGTTGCTAAGCACACTCCAGGCCATAATTACATCTCCCGTGAAATACACGGGGAAAACATCTATTTATGTGCAAGTGTTAAGGGTTAAGATGTTTTATTTCTAGAGCAAGCTACTTTGGAAAAATGAAATCTTCCGAATATCTTCGATGTTAATTCCAGCCCTCAAAACTTATTTCACCAGCACAACAAAATAAAGTATAATGAATGAACAGAAAATCATGAGCAAGGACAAATGTAAAAGAGTTTATAATTCAGAACAGTCCTCTTTTTGGAATAATAAAAACACTACAAAATGTCAGAAATACGTTTTTACGTTTTTAACTTAGTATCTTCTGTTCAAACATGTAGCTACCAAGTACCAAATCTTGCTGACCAGCGGCTCAGTAACTTTGATGGAAGCGTCGATCTAGAGTCACATTGAACTAAGCAGATATAATAAATATTTTTAAAATGGTAAGAAGCATACTTTAGCACAGAGAGCTGATCAAAGGAAACACAGTGAAACACAACACATATGGGACATGAGGTTTATTTATAACTGAGCCCCACAGAAGATGCAGTTAAATATGTTAGTGGAAACTAATTATAAGGTCACCATTTTTTTAGTATCAATTTTGAAGTCAATCCTCAACACTGCAGCCACGACAAAAATAAGTATCAAATTCATACGATTATTTGAATAAAATATTGCTGGCCCAAACCTACTGCCATAATCTATTTTCTGGGTCATCTTTACGATGTGAGTGAATTCTGCAAAATGAAATAAATGCTGTTAAAAATTCAAAGGCTGCAGACTGCGGTGGCAGAGACACCACATTTTCCCTTAAACGCACTTTCTCCTTCTTCCACGAGCAGCGGACCCCTGGGAGTCAGCTGAGCACAAGTCCTCGGTGGATAAAGACCCTACACCCCACCCTCCCTGGCAGACAGGTATGGCGACTGACTGTCTGGCCTTAAAGGGAGGGGCCGCCCCAGGGCCCCCGGTGGAAGTGTAAGCAGGTCTGAGCCCCAAGGCCCACTCGGTGACTCTGGAGGCCAACTCCTGTCTTGCTGACTCTACAACTACTGTCTGAATCTGATTCAGAAGCCGAGTGCGTTTCTTAACTGACACACTTACTTAACTTCATCTCTGCAAAAGCAGCCACTCACTCCCAGAGACTTCCTATGCCTGTCCCTTTTAGGACACGCCTTTTCTTTAAACTTTCTGACATCTCTGAAAACAAGGAAACAGCAGCCGGCTTTGGGACCTGCCTTGGGGAAGACTGCAGGAGCCGCTTCCTTAACCCACTGGCTCTGCTCCCAGATCCCTTCTGCTGTGTGTGTGAGCGACAGGACAGACATCTGTTCACCCTACGAATTCCTGCAGCGTGTGTCCAATAAGCACTATCAAGTCAAACCTTAACTGACACACTTTCTTCCTGCCTGCCTTCCTTCCTTCTACATAAAGTAGTGCTGTGTCTTAAAACAGATGATGTTTGGGACCTTAAATCTCTGAGTATTCCACCACGATGCCATCTCAGTAGGCACCAGCGGCACCTGGACACACGGGCCATCAGGCGAGTCAGTCGGGGCTGTTCCGCACCTACACCTCAGCTCTCCACCACTCAACTGCGGAGGCCCACGTTTCTTCGAGGTGAATCTCAGTTCTCAAGTCCATAAAAACTAACACAATACCATTTCCAGAACCTAGTTGTCAGGCCTAAATGCGGAGATGCAGCAACAGTTTAAACGAACACACTGGACTAGCTGCACGGAGCCCTTCCACGCACGATCGTACTGCACTCACTGCTCCAGTAGGGAAGACACTACCCCTCCGTTCTGTAAGTGACCGAGAGGGTTCACTATCCTGCCGTGAGGAGGCGTGGCCCTGCGGGGACTCCGGCCCAGGCAGTCCGGGTCTCGCAGCCTTGCTCTGACCACAACGCAGAAACCGGCAGGGAGGGCTGCTGGCGCAGTCCCGTCAGGGGCTCACTGCAAACTGCTGCTTCACGTCCTGCTGGGCCACGTGGCGTCTCCTCTGCACCGAGTACAGGGAGGGCGCTGCTACCTCCGAGTGGACTTCACTACTGTCCCTCACTTCTGAAATTTAACTCATCCTTCTAGATGAAACTGACTTTAAAGCATTCCTGATTCTTTTCTATGGAATTTTCTGAAAACAATTACATATAAATCCTCCTCCAAATATTTAACCCTAAGATGTTCAAGCCAACTAAAAAAAAAATGGTAAGTCATCAGAAACTTCTAACACTGTAGCCAGACAAGGCTTGTCCATGGTGTTTGGGGAGTGGAGCTTAGTTTTCCATGCACCTCACTCAGCGATCGCAGAGCCTCTGGAAAGGCCTGGCCCCACCCAGCAGCACAGAGCTCAGAGGCCGCCAATCAGAGACGGCCTGACTCAGCATATTGGAAGAGGTGATGCTTGAACAGACAGTCACAGTGCACAAGGGGTGCCTTCCAGCCATAATCTGAAAGGTGGTTAAGATTTTAAACAGGACTTCCACTTTACCATTCTCACAATTTCGAGCCCAATTAAAACACAGATGATTTACAACCACCTTAGATATTGCTGCCTCACTCAGGTCAACAGAACCAGTATCTAATTTATCACACTGGAACTTCGTAAAATTTATTTTTGAAGTTGACTTAAATTCTTCTAACTACTGTTTTTTGGGTAATGAAAACTGGCTCTCTCCAATGATAACTAATCACTAGTTAGTCATAAACCCAAGAGGGTTAAGGCATCATCTCTTTCAATATGTCTTCATGAACTTTTCAAAGGGAAAACCATTGTTTACCTTGAAAGCTTTCTGAGCTGCGGCCTTCTTCAAGACATCGGGGTTAAATTCTAATGGGTTACTCTTTCAAGTCAGAAGAAAATGAATATACGAAGGGTTAATACAACATGCAACGAGGAGTTTATGTATGGTTAATGACATGAACATTATGCAAACAAACAAAATCTTTAAACAAAAACCACCAAGGATTACACAAAAAACAGTAAAAATCACTTGTAATTTTTTCTTTACGCTCAAGATTTTATCTCGGAATGAACCTTTAATCTATAAATATCAAAACGCGTGTTCTTCTCCCCTGTGGTTACTATGCCTCTCATCTTTTGGGTTTCAAAGTCCACTAGTGATGCTTTAAGGAAAGCTTCTATTTACTCTCCTTTGCGTGAATAAACCCCTGAAATACCTATAATTACATTGAAGCTTTTATCTGAAGTACCGACAAATGGTCCCTACGTGTCCGAATGACTCTCAAGCCAATGATATGCTGCAGCAGCAGATGCAACTGTTCTCCCTCCCACAACCCTCTCCCTTCGTGCAGAACCTCGGCCGAGAAGGGCCTTCTCCACTGCCCCCACCCCGCCCGTTCTCTGTGGGGCAGGAACCGCTAGGGCTGCTCGGATCACCACGAGTTTCCCCCGGCTCTAAAGTTCTATTATTACGGGTCGTGTCCTACTTCTACTGACTGTAAACTCATTACTTTCTGCCCTCAAAAGGGAAAGACTGAGTTGTTTTGCAAGTTCCTTCAAGGGAAGACACATAGATGAAAGGTTTTGTCATTAGTTGTAATTAACTTCAAACGACAAACTAAATTTTCACTACTTCTTTTTTATAAACAGTAGATTTTATAATGAAGAAACGGACACTCTGCCTCCGGCCTCCTGTGACTGTGGCTGGCAAGGCAGGCAAGGAGATCGCACATCTAGCCAGGAGGACTGAGTGCCCGTGGGAGCCAGCCTCAGCCCACGCTGCCGCTGCAGCTGCCCTCCTGGCTCAAGGGCACTGGGACCCCCGGGCACGTCACTGGGGGGAGCCCAGACAGGTGAAGCTCTCTCTGGGCAGGCGGGCCATGTGCTGAATGCACATGTCACTGTAGCACGCATCGGTGACCACGAAGCGGGCAGGCAGAGACAGAGGCTGCGCGGTGTAGGATAAAGGGTGCAGGGGAGCCGTGTAACATTGTAGAAGCTGCCAGGGCCTGAGGGTGGCATGAACCAGATCATCCGGGTGCACTAGGTAGGGGCTCAGCGTGAGGCCTTCCACCTGGACCCCTCACCATTAATAGGGCAGCAATGCCACCTGTACTTCGTAGTGAGAGAGCACTAGGTCTCCCTGTTACATGGCTCAAATTTTCCCATAAAGTGGACCCGTGTGTGAACACCACCCATCACAGATAAACCCCATGCACAGCGTCATAAACTTAACAAAGCGACTGGGCTGGAGCAGACAGAAGGCTCAAGAGTGTGACTCTGGGTCCATGCTGAGTTCAAAGCCCGGCTCGGCTGCTCACCAGCCATGACCCTGGCTCTCTAATCTCAGTCTCTCGAGCACCGTGGTGGCTCCTTATCTGAGAAAACGATCCTCCTAGCCTGAGACTAGAGGAGCTGTCCACGCAGGACCATGGAAAGTGCTCCGCAAACACAAGTTACCCGAGGAGCCGAAGGTCTAAAGCGGGCCCCCTCAGCTTTCCTCCAAAATTCCAGCCCAAGACTTCATCCGAGGAGAGCAAGTGCTGAGCTGGCGATGGAAAGAGGCCATTTCCAGTTTGGGATACAGTGCGGTGGTGCTGCCCCTCTGGGGTAATGACTGACAGAGTTGAAAATTAAGGGCGTTTTCTGCAGGGAGAGGGTAGGAGCACACAGGACTCGCAGGCATCCAGAACCTTTCCTGGAAGCAGGGAAGGGCTCGGGCTTGGGAGGAAATTGAGAAAGCACTGACCTAACTTCACAGTGAAAACCAACGGATTTTTAAAAAGCAATGACTTCGAATTTAGTTCATAGAGCATTCCATTGATGCCCACATTTGACTCACAAAGCAGAGCATGTGACTTTGATCATGGAGGAGGAAAGGCAGTTTTGATAACCAAGCAATGTCACCAGGGCCCATCGCAAAGCAATGACACCAGTCAAAAGGGTTCACGAGGGGCCTCTGGTGAAGGAGGGGGCTGGCAGAGCCGCTGGCCGTGCCAGCACCCTCTAGAGACGACACCACGGAAGTCATTCTACGACAGTGGTGCACAGCAGACGCCAACATGTCCCCCAGGCCTCGCACCCACCCCTGGGTCCTGACTCTCCTCCTCTGTCAGTGGCTGATGGGCCTGTAATTCGCGTTCTGCCCACCTCCCTGTTCCACGTGGAAACAGAGTGAGAGCTCTTCACAAGTGCAAAGCCGCCTCTGTTAGATTCCGGGACCAAATGAACTTGAAGAATCTCACTACCACTGAATTAAATCAGCAATCAGTCAAGAACGGGCGACTCACACTCACGACTAAGCCGTTGGTGAGTCCCTGTCACTCCAGAGCAAGTAAAAATAACCGTCCGATACAGGCAGCAAGGGCTGTGCAGGGACCAGGTGCAGCAGCTGGGCCTGGGAAACAGAACGGAGGCAAATCGGCTTCCCGAGCAAGGTCAGAAATACACCATTATCTGCTCTGGGAAATTCCTTAAGTTCCTCAAAAGAAGCTGAATGATTATAAGCTCAACAATCTTTTTCTCTCTCAGGACCTCTGGTCAAACAGTGAAGGAGAAGGCTTGTTCCAGGCCCACTGGTGAATTTCTGTCCTCGCTGACCAGCCCTGTGGGCTCAGCAGGGACTTTTAAGGAGAGCTACGTTCCAATACTTCTTTTGGGTCAGGAGGAGAAAGCAGATTGGAGGGAGTTTTTTGAAAGCCTGCAAAGAAATATTTACATCTCACACTGAGATGAACCACAAGAAAATCAAACGAATCGTCATGGCTTCTGTTTTTCCACAGGAGGATTTTTATTTTTACTTTTTTGTGGGCTTCCTCATGACTCACCCGGTCTGTTCATCTCATTATCAGACGTGGTAGCCAGTGTTAGTCACAGCACAGTTACACATCATGAAATGAGCACCAAACCAGCACACACAGCAACGGAAACCATGCACGGAAAGCAGGGAGCATGCCACGCCGCACCGCCCGAGTGGACGGCGTCAGAGCTCCAGCGCATTCTCGCGGCGCCGTGAAAACGGGAGGAAGAAAACCCCGGGCACTCACAAACAGCGCTCTATAGACTGAGGCGGTGTTTTCACAGAACACCAGTCCGGACGCACGCCTCTCTTTTAAGTAGCCACACCCAAAGTTTCCCTCGTAGACACTCTTAGGAAGTGGAAATGGGAGGAGAAAGCAGAGAATGGGGGTTGTGGTCAGTGCACACGAGAAGCACCATAAACGGGAGAGCAAAGGGCAGCCCAAGAACCCACGGAACCCGAGGGCGGCGGCCACACCCCGCGGGGAGCACCAGCGGGCGGCACCGAGGAGGCCGTCTGCCCCTGGCAGCCAGAGCACAGGGTCCTTAACAGAAGGCTAACGAATTCACCTGGTTTTTAGTTTTTCAATGTTTGCTACGTGATGCCATTAAAATTTTAACTTATGTGATAAAACACACAGTTCTGAAGCACAGCCTCCTCCTCCTCGCCAACTCCCCAGCACAGCACTATTCTGTACGTCCTCACATGTGTCCCACGCTCACTCCCGCCCGACACGGTGAGGGGCCTGCTAGCAAATGTTACTGTGGTCAAAAACAAGTTCTGCCACATGAGAAATTTTGTGGGAAGGTTAAATAATAATGAAATAAATTGTAACAGAAAAAGCCAGACTTTAGATTGGCAAAGGGACCCAAAGGTGAAGGTAATAACTTCAAGAGAAATTAGGACGTCAAGGTCAGTAAAAAAACTGTCACTAAAAAGCACGACTGTGGCTGACCCTCGAACAACACGCATCTCAGTGGCTCGCACGGCTTGGACACGTGCTGCTCGGGGTCCTGCCTCTCTGATTGGGGCCAGGAACCTGCGTGAGTGGGGGGCTGACTGCCGTTATCTGTGGATTTCAACTGGGCACTTGCAGCTCTAACCCCCACATCATTAAGGGTCAGCTATATAAACAACTTCATAAAAGAGTTCGAGTACATGTTCCTATTATGAAAAACAACAATGCTTGATCAGATTTTAATTGCTGAAAACTTTGAATGAAGCGAACACAAAGCACATTCGCTGTGATGGTGCACAAAGCCCAAGGAATGCACAAGTCTGAAACCTCACATGGTGCTGAGGCAAAGCGTGTGTTTCACGAAATCAAGGGGATGCTGTCTAGCCACAGTGAGGAGAGAGCAGACAGGTGGCCCGGGTGACACACTGAGGTGAGCCAAGGGCCGAGTGGCACTCTGCTGTCTGTGTGTCCACGGGGACAATGGACTTGGGGGACAGGCACAAATGACCTGGCTGAGTGGGCATCTGCCATCGGGGGAGGAAGCCCCTGCAGCAGGGCGCAGTCCTCTCTCCTTCTACCAAACGGGCCTTCGTTACATGAAGTAAAGTGAGAAAGACCACGTCCTGAACACGTGCACGGCACTCGGACTCGTACGAGCAGGAGAACATTTCTCACCAGCAGTGGGATGAACTGCGGTGTGGGGATCCCAGCAGGCCTCACCCGCCTGAGAATGTATAATTTTTCTTCCCCAAGTTACAGTGGTTACTGTCCTTTACGGTTTTTTCTCAGAGCAAAGCAAGTGTGATGCAAACGAGGTGCACCCGCTCTGGGCTGCAGAAGCCGCGGTGGCAGGGGACACGAGGCAGCGTGCCCTCAGTGCCAGAGGCTCCGCGCACACGCCGCTCCCCCCACCACGCTGTCCTGCCCATCACCCGGCCATGTGGCAGCCAGGATGGGTTTGTCCTCAGAGGTGCTTCAATTCACTGCCATGCCAAAAAGAGAATGAGCAACCAAGTTTTGATATTTAGGGATTTTCTGCAGAACACCTTCTTCCCTGACTACGAGGGAACTGCACAGACACCCTCTGAATCGGGTATTTCTTCACACAATGCGCCGGAGCAAAGACAACTCTGAGTTTCCTGGGTGACAAGGAAGGTGCACGAATATGAAGATACACCATCCCCCCCACAGCTGCTCACGGCTGGGACTGAGGGAAGACACAGCCCCAGGAGCAAGTGCGGGTGTGGAAAGGAGCACCCCAGCAAGCTCCCACAGCGCTACCTACCGGAAGGTTCCTCGCTGAGTCCAAATACAAGATCAGCAAGGAGGAGGAAAGACCGTCGTTGGCTTGGCCTTTGTCGGCTCGGATGTCTGTGAGCACCTACGAGGAAGGAGAAACGCCTCAGCCCCTGCGCTGGACTCGTGTTCCCTGGTTATGCCTGCCATGCTCACGAGAACAGGAAAGAGGGGAACTGAACCACCCAGTGCGTGCAAGCAGAGAAGGGATATGGGAAGGACTGTCCTCACGTCAAAGGAAGCACGCAGCGCCCTGTGGCCCTCCAAACCCCTGCATCATATCAAGCACAAGGTGTGAGGATCTCTTAAAAGGTATAAATACCCTGCAAATCCCTTCAAAATTCTGAGACTACTGAAGTGACTTAAGCACAATAATGCAAAGTGCCGCTATATTGTTTTGAACCAAGGCACGGCACCACTGGAAGAAACTGATGTCAGTGGTCAGGAACACGGCTCCATACCTGGTCCAGGTGGGCAGCATGTGCCATCAGTGTGAGCCACTCCAGTTTCAGGTGCAGCTTCCCTCTGGGGACCTCGTCCAGGGTGAACCACTGAAGATGAAACATGCAGGGTCAGCGGCCGTGCTCCTGAGCGCGTGGTCCACACAGATGGAATGTGCACAGCGCTGCCCGCTGCCCGAGGCCATCTCAGTGCTTCCCAAACACTAACGGGTGGATCCCACCAAAGCCCTGTGGGGTGAGGAACTTTCACCCCTGATTTACACACAAGCATCCGAAGGCCTCCCAGCTCCTTCCGCTCCAACGTATGGACCTGACTAAAATTTATGGGCCCAGAGACAATAAAATATCGAGCCCAAATGCTGAATTTCAATAGCAAACAAGTTAGGATGTTTGTTTTTATTCATCACTATATACCAATAACAAAACAGTCAATAGTTGTATCAGATTAAAAAATCAAAGCAATTAATCAAAGAGGGCCCCCAAACTGCAGTGTTGGAAGAGCCAGCTGGGACCTGGGGCCTGCGGTGCTCACCCGTGAGCGCCAACGTGCACCGCTCCGAAGGGGGCACCTGGGTCATTAACCACACTCTACTTATCCCAAGCGCGCCCGCCTTTTGCCAGCCACCACCGCCTTCCCCTTTCTCACACCAAAGGCTCTGACAGCAGTGTCCTGCCTGCCTGCTGCCCACTCCTGCTGCTCTCACAGACCCTTCCCACGGCGATCTCCCGTAGACGGCACAGCACCTGCTCTGCTTTGAAATGCTCATCGCCCATCAGTCAATCCACTGACCAAATGGACTGATGGATCAAATGCCCCTCATCACACAGCTGCTCCCAGCCCGCCGCCTGGCCCCAGGGGAGAGCGTGCGCCTGCCTGGAATGAGTCGGCCTGTGCTCACGTGTTCACGGGCACGTCTGGCGTGTGGTCGGCACCCAGTAAGTGCTCTGTGATTCGGCTCTTACACTCCTTTCCACGGTGCTCTCACTAAAAGGCCCAAGCTCCCCCTGCCCACCGCGTTTCCAGGACACTGCGTTGGGGCAGCAGCACTCGGTGGCTGCGCACTGCACGGCGCCAGGTGCTCGGAGGACTCACTTCGTCCAGAAGGCGCTCCTTTTCCACTTCGGTCAGGTCGAGCAGGAGGCTGGGGAGAGAGCACACACCAGTCAGCGCAGAGAGCACACACGGTGTTTCGGACACCGTGGCGACTCCAGCTCGAGCTCCCGCCAGCCAGGCCCAGGAGCCAACAGAACCCTGTGTCCTGCAGCCCCGCCCACACCCCTCCCCCATGATCTGTCACAATCTGTCTCTTCTCAGGCCAGCACCCTCCAGTTTCAATCAGGGGAATCTGGCCTATATAGTGTTTTACTCAAGTGCAAACAATCTGTTCACTGAACTGCTTAAAATCTTCCATTTGCTCCTTGTCAAACTGTCTCGTAAGGGAATTCTGAAGTCGCAGCACGGCACACAGGCCAGTTCTGATGAGACCAAACCTGTCCAATGTCACCTACTCCTGTACCTTTTTTCAGCTGTCCTGGTTATTCCATTGAAGTAAACAAATCAATATTTATTTTTTCAATGTTAATCACCACTCCCTTCCCTCTAAAATAACTCCCAACAAACTGACAATGTTTAAAACCCTGTTTCTACACCTGGAGCCACCGGCCTGTGTGGTGGGATGGCCGGAGGCCGGGCCTGCAGGGCCACGAGCCTCCCGGGGCTGCCGAACACCTCACACAGGCCAGTGCAGCTACGGAAGCAAAGTCCAGGTTCCGTTCGACTTGATTCCATCCAGTGGCTGCTGTGACGGACCCAGATCTAGAAGCTTCCTTCTCCTACTTACATGTGCGACTCATCAGGAAAGAAACGTGCTGGGAAGCCTGAGGTGGGACAAATGTCACATCCGGCAGCCGTTTAAAAACTAATACAACACGTGCGCAGATCTACTTCTGAAGCTACACTGCAGCTTTATGAGACAGCTAAACACAGAGAGTGAGCCTGCGCTGTGCTCAGACGCAGAGGATTCACCTTCCTAGAAAGTCGTCCTTGTCCGGGTCTTCGTCGAAGAGCTCGATTTCTAACTCCTGTCCAGGGTGTTCATAGACCAAGGCCTGAAAAAGTGACAACCTGGGGTCACCACACCGTTACTAGCATCGTCACCTGCTGAGCATGACAATCACAGCAAACGTCACCACGTGCTTCTCTCCAGCACGAAGCCCTTGTGAAGCACCTGTGTTTCCCACTGTGAGACCACTCGCTCGCTCTCTCGTCTGGAAACGTGTGTCCACACAGCAATGGTCTGCTGTGCTTGGTCCCGGTGGGGTTACATCTCGGGGGGCCGAGCTCAGTGGTGCCAAGACAGGACAGCCCACAGCCTGGTGCTGGCTCCACACAGACACTACCCGTGGATGACCAGCCGCCCCAGGCCCCTCAGAGATGGGGCGGGGGCGGGGCAGAGAAGCTGGTGGAGCAGGACCCGCACCAGCTCTGGAGGGGGCTCTGCTTTCAAACCCACGTAACTGCTCCGGCAGCAACTCCACTCTGAGGGGCTTCAGGTGGGAACAGGCGGCCACGTAAAGAACAGGTTTACCCTACCCGTGCTCTGGCCAGTTATAATGCTGAACCCAAGAGCTGAGATCTCTTTGGGTAGAGAAACGATGGAACCTATTCAGGAAACGGCTGTTATGAACCAGGCCCGTCCACGTTTACTGACGAGTATGGACGCCCTGCTGTGTTACATGACCATTCACAAGACAGAGTGTGATCTCATTCCTGCATATGCTTATGTGTGTTGATAACAATGTAAAACATTCACATTATGAAAAAACGTTGCAATTATTTGTTATGACAGCTTTATGCATTTAAAGTCTAAAATGTTACCTGTCAGCAGGACACATACAACTGCAGGAACAGAAGGTGCGGTACTTTTCAGATGGGAAGGTACAGCAAAGAGAACTTAAGCTGCCACCTGAATTAACGCCACCCAGGGTGCCAACGGGGAGGTGTGACTTGGGGACGAAGCCTCACCTCATACACCTCGTTCCACCTCGGACTCAGGTTCTCCTTGATGACCTTGCTCTGGAAGATCTGGTTGCCGACTCGGATCACGCCATAGGGGTCTGACTTCCCCTTGACAAGCCCCTTCAGGTAGGTGTCCTTCCCCTGAAGGTCCTGAGCTTCAATGAAGTGTATCCTGAGAACACCCTGGAAGGACAAGACCGCCTGCTGCTCACCACTTCATCCGACAGACAGAAGCGCCGGCTGGGTGCTGACCGTCCATCCCCCTCCAGGAACGTGGTGCACAGGGAAGAGACGTGTGAGGCGCTTAGGAAGCCAGGCAGGGGCTACTCGGACAGGAGGCCAGAGGCGGCAGGACGTGGAGTGTGAGTGGCTGCGCCCCCAGGAGACCCTGGGCAGACGCCCCAGAGCAGCCCAGTGTGTGCACAGGGCCACAGCCGTCACACCAGTCCAGCCTCGTGGGGCCCAGAACGACCCTGTTTGGACTCCACGGTGAGCAACACTATGTTGTGGGTGTGTCAGCCTGTTAGGGAGCCTGTGCTGAGCACTGGTCACCCTGCTCGATGTTCACAGAGACCCTACGAAGCACTGTCATCAGCCTCTTTCACAGAGAGAAAACTGAAACTCTGAAGCACACCCTACTCTCTGACTCTAAACACAGTTCTCAGTTCCTAAATGTGGTTTAAGTGATAAATAAAAAATACTCATTTTTCTTTCTTTCAAGGCAAACGAAGGCAGTAAAGCTACCTTTGGGTAGGGTAGCAAGTCTCCTCCACAAACCCTTTTTAAAAAAGTCCTGGGTGATGTTCCTAAAGCAACCAGCACAGGAGGTGTGTGTTCTTACCGTGTCACTCACTGGACGCTCAGTCTAAGAGAAAACTGCGCCCCAGCACAGAGACCAGGCTGGGACAACCTGCACATCTAGAGCTCGGGTTTCTGAGTAGGGCCCCAGGCTCTCATGCTGCCCTCTGCCAGCTGAGACCCTGGCTGTGGCCTAAAGGCACCAGCCGGCACCTATGGAGTGTGGCGGACAAACCACCAGCTGTACCACCACCCATGGGAGGCCCTGACACCCAGGGCTGCTACTGGCCCTCCATGTCCGCCTATGGGTGGTCACAGAGACCAGGACAAGCTTACCTTCGGTATTGGAAACCGCAGCTGGGCTATCTGAACCTCGCTGACAAGCGGAACAGTGATTCGATTGGGAAGCACCAGGTGGTTTGATATTATATCCAAAATGATAGTATCTGATAAACCACTGTTGGGTGGGAGGCAAAAAGAAGAGAGTGATTATCAGACTCACCCACCTGGGTCGCCACCTTTGGCAGCCGCTCGCCATATGCACGGCACGGCACGGCAACCCGCCGGCCGCCGGCAGTGTGGGAGCTGTCTCCTCCCCAACCTAGGTGGAAACCAGCAGGTGGACGCCCGGCGGGGATGTTGCCTGTCCTGGAGGCTGTGTTCCCAGAACAGTCACGGCACCCTGCACTCCTACACAGCTGCGTCACTGATTTACCACTGAACAGCTCCTACACGTTTCACTCAATTTCTCTTGTAACAGAAAATATTTCAAGCTTCCTCCTTCCTGTGACAGGGCCAGGAGCACGTCACCGCCCCCAGGAGGGATGCGAGGCTGACGGACCCAGGTGCTCATGTGGAAAACCTCACAGCCAAGACACTGGGTTGCTACCCGCAAGCGGAGGGACGACCAGGAGTGATGATGCAGGTGCCCACCACACCCCTCGGCTCCTGGGGCCGGTGCCACCCCCTACGGATCAGCGGCTGCAGCTCGAAGAGCCCAGAAAGGGCTGGTCTTAGAACATACGTTTGCTGTTTAAGTTTTCTTTATTCTTCTGGGAAACGGATAAAACCCAAATTTACAAACTAACTCATAAGACAGTGAAAGGCTGCCCCATCCACTCAGAAACCTCTGACCTGAGGTCCTGCCGCTGCGTCAGCGCCTCTGGGCCCAGCACCCGGGTGGCACCAGCTACTGTCAAGGCACAGGCCTGGCCCCAAGGGGACAGGCCTACGACGCCACCACCAAGCTGACCACAGCACTCGACAGAATACTCACTTCAGTCCGGGGATATCAAGAAGATTGGTCAGTCCTGTCCAGTTAATTTCCAAAAGCTGTTTAAAAAACGGGGGACAGAATGTTACCCAAGTTATTTACAGTGATCGAATCAGGTCGCCCTCGTCTATTTCTTCACAGACAGAACACTGTCCTGCACCTTGTTTTTCACTTGGAAAAACGCCCCGGCCACCGTCCTGCTAGTGCCTGGAGCGCTGCCTGCTGTGTCGTGCGGCGACAATGACATGGTTTTCCCCAGTAAAAGCATGTGGTGATTTACATGCCCGTCCCACTTTGACGGGCACTAGAAACACTCATATTTCTCTTTTACTAAGTCAAGATTCAGGGAGTATCTTTCCACATGCATGTTTTGGTATGCGCATGCAGCTGGCGTACAGAAAGCAGACATTCAGGTCGAAGATACATGCTCACTTGTTATGTTGACAGTGCTACCTAATGACCACAAAGAAACACTGTACCAGTTTATACTCCCACCAAAAGTATAAGAAAATGTCCCTTTTTTATATCCTCACCAAAAAAAGAAATGAAAACTCAGCCCAGTCTGCAGTTAAAAATGGCCCTTTACCACTGTTTCCATCCGCATTTCCCTGACATTAGTGGAACACGCGCCATCACTCAGCACCCGGGGGTTCTGCTCATTTCTCCAGTGGGTATTTGTCTTAGAACGACTCCTACACAGCGGGCGGTGTGGGTGTGGGTGGGTAGAAACCATCCACTGGCAACGCTGCTCTTCCTATCCAAACGGATACTGCACAGAATCAGCTTGTCTGTGCTTCCTACCCGGGGAGGGAATGCTAAGTGAAGCTGCACGATCCCATCGTCCACGGAGCTGGAGGAACACGTTCCGGCTCAACTCCCTTTGGGGAGTGGCTGGTTATAAACAAGCACGAACCAGGAGTCCCGGGTCTCTTGGAAAGACCAAAAGTAGAAAGCACCCAATTTTAAAAGTCCCGAAAGACTGAGATTTCTCAGCCAAAGAGAAATGAGATGTGTCCCGCCTGGCTAATAGCAGTACAGACCCACACCCCCGACAAAGACAACAGGCCTGAAAGCTAGAGCAACTCAGGGTGACTGTCCCCCCAACCCGGGACATCATGTCCACAGATGTCTTCCACTGAGAGGAGCCAGGGGCATTGAAGGAACAGCAGACACCGGGCGTGGGTGTCCTGTTTGATCAGAAAGCCTGAGGAGACACCCCAGGACTGATGGGGGCCTGTCAAAGGGCAGGTCCCCTGGAAGGGACTATGGCCGACGATGACAAACCTGTCAAGCAATGAAGGGCCTAGCACACGACCCTCATCAAAATGCTAAGACACGTGTGTTTAAATGCTGCCCGAGCTCTGAGACCAACACGCCAGGGAGGCAGGGGCAGGGCTTGTGGAAGGGCAGGACCCAGCTGGGTGTGGGAAGACGAACCTGAACGCAAGACAGAGGCCCAGAAGGGGGAGCTGACCTGTCCCTGAGCACAGGGGGAGCTCAAGGACAGGAAGCGCCCCGAGTGGATAAAGGAGGGAGCGGTGGACAAGTGTGTGAGCCCAAGTGTGAGTGTGCGAGTGCATGTGAGAACGCGTGTGTGTGAGAGGTTTGAAAGCTGAGTCTGGAAAGTCCTCACAGGGACACAGGGAGGAGCCCACAGGGAGGGATGAGCTACTAAAATTAGTGCCACCGTCCCCCTGCGTCTGGATGACTCAGATCTGTTTCAGGAAACTGAAGGGCCAGGGAGTCACATTTCCAAAGGCAGGAAACCACCTCGGGCTGCTGTGGCTCTTCTGAGACACAGGACCAGCAGCGGGAGGGTCACATTTCACCTGGAGCAAGATGACTGCATCTGTGCGTTTCACAGACACACACACGGCCCTGCCCAGCTCCTCTCTGCTCTCCCACGATGCACTGTCGCAGGGACGGAGCAGAATCTGCAGTTCGACAACAGCCACTGTCTACTGCGGCACTTACTATACACCGGGCACCTACGTGCATTAATTATTTGGGACAGAACGTGAATCACCTGGGAAGTCCACTGACACTCAGGCTGGCGGCTCCCACCCTTCCCCGGTGTTTCTGAGTTAGTCCCTTTGGGCTGGCAGCAAGGTCAAGAACATTTTTTATGTGCTGTAAAGCTCCCGGGACTGCCAGCATCCAGCAGGGATGCAGAAAACCGGACACAGGTGACCACTGGAGCTGAGGCAACAGGGCCCCCAGCCAGCCTGCAACCCTTCCTCAGAGGCAGCGGCTCCACAGGGTGGGAGAGACGACTCCAGCTAGAGGCTGAGTGCTCACGGTGAGTGGGGCTAAGTCAGTGTCAAGCCCATAAACCCCATTTGGTGGGCCAGCAGCGTGGGCTGGCTGCAAAGCCTGGGGACCTGGGCGACCCCCAGCTGCAGAGGTGAGGCTGGGAGGCAGCAATGCTGCTGGAGGGACACAACAGCCCCTTCCCACTGTGACAAACAGAGGCCCCTGAGGGAGGGACACACAGGTAAGGCCCACTGCAGCGGGGGACAGGGCAAGAAGACAAGATGCCTGTATGCCTTGGGGAGGGGAGGGCACCATCCCGGCCCTGACCGTCGGCGAGCCCATGCTGCTGGATCAGTATGCGGAAACCCACCCGCGCAAGACCCACCAAAGACACAGGCACGAGGAGGGTAGAGTCACTGAAAGAACACCGGGCCGAGACGCACCCCGGGCCAGGACAATGCGGGGCACCCACCCCCGGCACTGGGGTGCAGCAAGCCTGTCCCTCTGATGAAAGCTGTCGAACCACAGACCCAAGAAACTAAGGGACTCCGCCAAGAGCACCTGGCAGGACAAACGCCTCCAGAGCTGCCAGGGCCGGAACGCGAGGTGAGGTGTGGTGTGGTGTAGGGCGAGACCTCCCCCTCACTGCTGCCCCTCCGCAAGGCTGTAGGGCCGGCTGCGGGGGAGGGGGGGTTCCTCTAACACTGCACCCTCCCACTCCTGAGGCCGAGGCCGTACCTGCCCCGCTGGAGCAGTGTGGGGTGGGCAGCTCACTGCCTCTGGGGGGCACGGGCAGCTGTGACTCTGGCACGTGGACCAGAGGACGTGGCCTCAGCCAGAGAGGCCCAGGGAGAGCGGAGCATGCGGGGCAGACGGTCCAGAGGCTGCCCTCGCCTGCAGCCCCACACAGGCTTCATGACACAGCGGCACTGCCGACTTTTATTTTCAAGTAAAGCCCCCCTTTGCTTAAGGCACCCCGGCTGCAGGATAGGATTCAACACCTCCTCACAATCGCCGTACGAGGACGACTTGCGCTCCCCCACACAGGAGGAAACAAAGCCGGGGGGGGGCGCCCCACAGAGTGGACACCCGGGTAGCGGCCCGAGAGTCTCCCAGGCGAGCTCCAGCACGGGCCTCCCGGACTTGCTCTGGTCTCAGCAGCAGCCAGGACGGGTCTGGAAAGGACCCGAGGGCCCTGGAACAGCCAGGAGTGTGTGCCAGGGCGATTCCCACAGCTGTGCAGCCAGCAGGAGTGAGCGGCTGCCAACCCCACGGACACGTCCAGGGCAGACGCTGGCTCGTCCTGCCTCCCCCCAGAGCCCTCGTCCGTGCTCCTGTGCTTCCCAGCAACATGGGTTCCGGCGTGGGGACCCCACCAGGGTGCTGGACCCACACGGAGGAAAACATTTTGTTTCTTAAAAACCTGAGGACTTGTACATGCCAGGCACCGGGTCAAGTGTGTTTCATCCACTGACGTTTATTTGCTCTTTACATCTAATCCCGTGAGGTCGGTATTACTGTCACCCCCACCCCCCACCCTGTTACAGACAGGAAGACTGAGGCCTAGGGAAGTTAAACGAGTGGTTGAGGCTCACAGTCAGAAGAGAAAGAACCAGTGCGGAGAACCAGACTGTGGGACCCTGAGCCGCATTTCGCTGCCACACAACCTGCACATTATCAAAGTGGATCCAAACCCATCGACAAGCAGAGAGGCGTGCAAAGGATCCCTGTGGGTCTCTGACACTGTGCTTCTAAACCATCGGGATTAAAAAAAAAACCCGCAAGTTTCTCTCACTGTATTTTTCACTGGGGTGAGAAGAATGACTTGGCAGCCAGCAGTGAATTTTGTTCTCATATTTTCCAGTTACAAGTAACTGAAAAAATTCCCTCTGTCTTAAGCATATGTTTGGTGACTTTATTCCCCATATAAGGAAATGAAAGATTCTGAACTTTTCAGAGCCTCATACTTCTTTTCTGGGCACTAAACTTTGCTTGGAAGTTATGATGATGTTATTTTTTAAAAGATTTTACTTATTTTTAGAGAGAGCGGAAGGGAGGGAGAAAGAGAGAGAGAGAGAAACATCCATGTGTGGCTGCCTCTCACATGCTGCCTACTGAGGACCTGGCCTGCAACCCAGGCATGTGCCCTGACTGGGGATCGAACCTGTGACCTTTTGGTTTGTAGGCCGGTACTCAGTCCACTGAACCACACCAGCCAGGGCTGATGTTATTTTTTAAAGTAACCACACCTAGAAGATCCACTAAGGAAGAGTATTTGGATTCTGAACTCCAATAAAAGGACACTTCGTTAAATAATTAAAAACTCACGGTAAATCACAATACTCAGCTATCTGTCAAAGATTAGCTTGTTATGCTTATTAATGCTTAAATATGCTGACTTTTAAAATCTTTCATGAATCTCTTCACTTCCCAATATTTTAGTAAGTTAAAATTTAGCACAAAGGTTCCTTAACAGCTTTTGAGTGGCACCATGCTTTGTGTGCAGCGGCCCCTCCAGTCTGGGGGCCGCGCCTCTACAAACCGTTTTCCCCAGTGTGTAAAGAAATACCTTTGATGCAGCTTAATTCATAACTTAGGCACAGAAAGAGACAAGCGACGATAACGAATGTAAACGAGAACAGGATGAAATAAAGTGAGAGCTGCTTGGACACAGCACTGTGGTGGCTGATCTGACCACACGCCAGCTCCTAAGTCACCCACAGGCGGGCGGCATGTGGCCTGCCAACTGGATGAGAGGTGGCACATGTCAGAGACCGTGGGGAATCTCTCCTCACCAGAGCAGCACACGATTTACGACTTACGACCTGTTTATGTCTGAATTTTCCATTCAGTATTTTTAGATCATGGTCAACTAGAGGTAACTAAAACCACGAAAAGCAAAACCGTGGGTAAGGGGGAACTACTGTCGTTAAAATATATTCAGCCCTGGCTGGTGTAGCTCAGTGGATTGAGCACTGACTTATGAAGCAAAGGGTCGCCGGTTTGATTCCCAGTCAGGACACAGGCCTGGGTTGCAGGCCAGGTCCCAGTAGAGGACACGTGAGAGGCCACCACACACTGATGTTTCTCTCTCACTTTCTCCTTCCCTTCCCCTCTCTAAAAATAAATAAAGTATTTAAGAATATATATATATTCAAAACAAGCCCACGTTTTAAGCGATAGAAAGCAGATGAGAATAATATGTTCATGGAAATATATGGCGAGGACACGGAGGAAGTACCACTTCCAGTCTGGTCTAGAAAAACCCAACAATAACTTGTATTAGGTCACTTGCAGCGAACTGTACAACAAGAGATTCCAATTTTAATCTGTGCGTGATTTAACGGCACCTCCAGGGAGGGCTCCTCTAAGGCAACAAAACGGCGTTTTGTGGTGAGTTAGCTGAGAAAGGGGTCGAGCCACGCTCAGACACACACTGAACTGTGCGGAGACGGAAGCTGTGCTAAGAGTTATAGGTCATGTGCGACGAGGCCCAGGGCTCTCTGGGCGCCATGGCGTGAGGAGGAGACCTGGCTACGCTGCCCTGGGAAGGGCACACAGGGCTGAAGGCCGCATTGTGGAGCAGGACCAGATGAGGGACCAGGGACCCTGCTGGGCTGCTACTGATCCTGAATAACAGCCCCTCCCTGGGGGCGGGATGGAGCCTGCGGGAATGCTCCTGGGACAGCGACAGGAAATGAGGCTGGGGACAGAGACCCGGTCATGCCACAATACAAGGGAGAGGCCACACCCGGTGAGCCCTCTGCACCTCAGGAAGGTGCCCTGGTGATGGCCACCAAGGACACAGCTGAGGCAGGATGCCAAACAGAGGCTGCAAGAGCCAAGATGAGGGGGGCCTACATAGGAATGATACCTCTGTTGTCTTATTTTTGTGGTTAATAATAAGTATTGGCCACTTATAACAAAAAACTGGAATAACATACATATCCTACCACGTAAAGGAAAAACATTATGGTACACCCGAGTGTCAGAATCTTTATGACTTTTAAAAGCCCACTGTACGGACTACAGTCCACTCACACGCTGTGACGGGCAGGCCATGCGTGGGGTGCGGGGGGACGGGAGGCAAAGCCAGGTGGCGTACGGGTCCCCAGACTGGCGCTGTGACAGGGACAGAGGAGGGTCTCTCTTCTCGGTCAGTAAAAGGAAACCGTGTCGCTGTCTCACTACAGCTATGAGGGTTCAGTGAGCAAGTGTCTGTAAATCATACCCAGCGATAGGTGTGGAAATACTGATAACAAACCTACACTGAAAAAATGTGTTTCCAAATTTTCTGTGACCAACACATTATTTCTACGATGAGCAAAAGTCTCCCCGTCTACCGAAAGAGACAAACCCTCGTTAGGGCCTGCAGGGGCGTGAGCGAGCAGGCTCCGCGCATCAGGGCCACGGAGAGGACCATTCTCTGTCCACGTCCCGTGCCCTTCAACACGGTCGCCTCCTCGCCAGTGAGTGGGAAGGTGGGGACGGAAGAAACGTCGACTTACTGGCTTCCTGAGGAAGAAGATGGACAAGGCTCCCACCAAGGGCATGTCTCCAATCAGCGGTTCCAGGATCACGCGCATCGTACCGTGAATCTAGTGCAAACGGAAAGCGAAGTGTGTAACAGTGAGCAGGGCACGGCCAGGCACCACGCAGGATGAGGCAGGCGACGGGCTTGGTGAGGCTTCAGGTAGGGCCCACAGAGCAATTTAACTGCCAAGAAGTAAAATCTTCACCATTGTCTTTCTGAACAGAGCACAGGGAATTTCAGAAGACTATGAAACTTGAAAAAACCTTACCTGTATACTTTGCACACCAGCTCTACAGAAATATCGCTTGATCTCCAAGTCAATCTCACAATTTCCTACAAAACTAGCAAAAAAAAGTTCTGTGTTACATTCTCTTCACTGCCACAGACCTGCAAGGTAAATAATCTGAATAAAATAACAAACAGTGAAGCAGCGGCCCCAGGTGTGGCCTGCGGCATGAGCCTGTTTCACAGCCGGGGCTGCAGGCGTCACTGCTCCTGCGGACTCGCCAGACCCACAGGCCCTGAGGCCGTCTACAGCCTGGGCTCCTGTGACCAACGTCGTCGCTTCCCAAAGGGAACTCTGGAGCACTGTTGTGATAGAATGTAGTTTTCATCTGTTTTATAAACAACTATGTTTGTTGAAAACAACGAAGTATAGATGGCAGTTCTCCACAAGAGGCGCCCAGGCTCCCAGTCCTGAGAAAACCCGAGAGCCCAGACTCCGGTGCCAGGGCTGCGTGAAGCCCCATCTTCCTCACTGTCGGAGTCACCGAGATTGTCCGTGAATGCTGACGCCTTGTGGGTGGGGTCTCTGTGACCCCACTGCACCCCCCCCCCCGACTCCAGAACGCTACACACTGCACCTTCGAAACTCTGTCCACACAGAAATTGCGCTCCCAGCAGCAGGACCTGCTGTCTTCTGGTCTGTTTGGATAGCTGGCCATCAGGACGGGAGTGAGGTGCTGTCGTTTTGTGGCTGATCTGCACTTTCCTGATGTATAGGAAGGTCCGGCATCTTTGCACATGCCTGCGGTCCATTCGTATGCCATCTTTGGAGAAAGGTCCACTCAAGCCCTCTGACGCAGTTGAATCGGGTCATCTGTCTCACTGTTGAGTTGTGGGAGCTCTCTACACACGCTGCCTGTTCTGGAAGTCATCCCTCACCAGACGTGCGGCTGTGTGCACTGGTGCTGCCAACTGCTCTCAGTGTGGACAAGCAACAGCATCCGTGTTCCAAACTGGGAACACGGGCCTCTTTCCACGTGTCGTCATCAATGTCTCACAGCAACGCTTTGTAGTTCACATCACACAACCCGTCCCCTCCTCGGTTAAACTGATGCCTGAGCATTTTATTCCTTTTGGTTCTACTGTAGAAGAAACTGTTTTCGTGATTTCCTGCTGAATTGTACACTGACAATGTACAGACTGGAATAGATTTTTGTGCTCATTTTGTGTCCTGCTACTTTGCTGAACTCATTTATTAGTGCTAAGAGGTTTTTTTGTGGGGTCTTTAGTGTTTTCTACTCAGAAGACTGCACCATCTGTGAACAGAGATGATTTCACTTCTTCAAGTTGAATGCCTTTTACTCCTTCCTCTTCCTAACCGCCTTCCGGTGATGGGTTACACCGCAGTGGTGAGGGTGGGCACCCTGGCCGTGACCCGACCTTGGAGGAGAAGCTCTCTGTCCTCTACCACTGAGGAGGGGGATTGCTGTGTGTCACAACGGCTTAAAGCAATCTCATCTTGCCCACTTTGCGGAGTGTTGTTATCATGAAACAGTGTTGAACTTTGCCACAGGCTTTTTCTGCATCTACAGAAATGATCACATGGTTTTCTTCCTTCAAACCATTAACGGGGGGCACCCCACTGGTGGGTGTTCATGTTGAACGATCCTTGCATCTCAGGAATGTGCCCCCCTTGGTCATGGTGTGAGATCCTTTTAATATGTTGCTGAATTTGGTTTGCCAGTATTTTGTTAAGGACTTTGGCAACAATGGTTGTAAGGAATTTGATCTGTAGTCTTCCTCCAGTGCCTTGAATTTCTTTTACTTAACATGCTTTATGAATGGCAATTATCTAGGCTACTGGGAACTCAGAAAGTAGACAAGCTTGGGTCTTCATCAAGCACCTACACAAACCCTACTGAGGACCAGGTGAGAACTGTGCCCATTACACCCCCGACCACACGGGTGTGGCTACGTGACATGACACGTCAGGACCCACGGCACCAACAGGACACAGACGAAAGCTTACCTGACCTGAAGGTCCAGGATAATCTGCCTCTTGTCCACATTTTCAGTGTACACCTTGACGCCGTTGATCCTGAGGGGCTGAACAAGAAGAGGCTCATTTTAGCCCTGGCTGGTGTAGCTCAGTGGATTAAGCACAGGTCTGCGAACCAGAGGATCGCAGTTCGATTCCCAGTCAGGGCACATGCCTGGGTTGCAGGCTGGTTCCCTGCAGGCCAGTTCCCAGCAGGGGACGAATGAAAGGCAACCATACATTGATGTTTCTCCTCCTCTCCCCTTCCCCTCTAAAGATAAATAAATAAAATCTTTAAAAAAAAAAGAAGAGGCTCACTTTAAAACACAGGGGTGGCAAAAACAGCAACCAAACCACCAAACCTCACGACACGGCACAGAGCTGAAGAGAATGCGCCCCAGTGTCCGGCAACAGGACTGGTACCCACTGTGCCAGCCCAGCGAGGTGCTTGACCTCTGACCCTCCAATGCGGGGGTCACAGTGAGACCAAGGACACGAGGAACACAGGGCGTGTGGTGTACTGAGGGCACGTGGCAGCTCTTGTCTCCTCCCACGTAGACACGTCAGACACGGCCAGACGAATCACCAGAAATACAGCTGCTGTGCCGTGCAGACAAGTGGAAGTGGGCGTGGGGCTCAGTGCTGCAGTCTGGATGTCTGCCTCCAACAAGGAGTCCTCCTTCTGCTCTGAGCACAGGTTAGAGGAAGTGGGGCCAACCCAACCCCAACGTCTGAGCATCAGCAAAGACAGGACAGACACCCGAAGGCCCTGAGGGACTCAGCTCAGACCTGCAGTGTGGACACGGCACCCTGCTCGGGGCCCTACCTTCATTAGAGGGCTGAGTTCGCGGCACCTGTGGGATGCCAGCGCGGCGATGCTGCTGCCTTCACCTGTTTATTGGTCAGCCCTGCTCTTCCCATTCCTGCAGTTCCCCAGCAACGCTCTCAGGCGCCTCGCAGCGTGAACGTGAGTCTTCCTCAAGCCAACCAGGCGGGGGTTAGAATCCTAAATCTCCACCCACATGAACACGGAGCAAGGAGGCAAATGTTGGCTTCGGCTAAGAATGGTTTTTACATTTTTAAAGGGTTGCAAAAGAAGGGAACTAGAGAAGAACATGCCTCATAGACTCCATGTGCCTGTCAAAACTGAAATAGTGTTCTGACTCCTGCTTCACAGTCACATAGCATTCTGACTGGTAACAGCCTGTTGTCACCTTCTCAGGTTGCAGAAGTCAAGTCGGTGGCACAGGCGAATGTCCCATGGGCCTCTGTGCAGGTGTCTGTGCTCGCCAGCAACGGACGACCACAGCCCGCTGTACTTGGAGGTCGAAGCACTGCGCATGCACCTGCATGCGAGCCTGGGTCCTGTGGAGCTACGGTGAGCTCAGCCATCCCCACACAAAGCAGATCACCCCTGATGGGGGTGGGTGGCCTGGGCAGTGGGGGTGGGAATGAGTCTGGGGGCTGGCCAGACACCAGCCACGTTTATTAAAGTCCCCATGGGTGAAGTAAAGACCCCTGCGTCTGGCTCTGCTGCTCCCACACTGTGTGTGAACTGTGTGGTAAGCGTCCTGAAATGTGCTACTGAGTTCTCTGCGTTGGTTAGGTTACAGGAAACAATGTTACCTTAAAGCCAAAATAACGTTAAATGTCAATTACACCTCAATAAGAAAAGTTACCTTAAACTGTTGCTAATTACTGGATTTAAAAAATAAAAGGAAGCTTATCACAATCAACTAATTGAGTAGTCCTGAGAGTTTCACTAGAAGTACCACCAGGAATTAGCAGACTTCCTTTGCACATACAGACACTTCTCAGAAATCCTACAGGCTCGGTTCCAGACCAGTGCCATAGGACAACTGTCAGTAAGGCGAACCCATAAAAGGTGGGATACCCCAGTGCATATAAAAGTTCTGTTTAGCCCAGGCTGGCGTGGCTCAGTGGATTGAGCACTGGACTATGAACCAAAGGGCTGATGGTTCAATTCCCAGTCAGGGCACATGCCTGGGTGGTGAGCTGGGTCCCCAGTAGGGGGGGCACTAGAGGCAACCACACACTATGTTTCTCTCCCTCTCCCTCTCCCTCCCTTCCCCTCTCTAAAACAAGTTAAAATAAGGTCTGTTTACACTATATGATAGTCTAATAAGAGTAAGTGTGCAATATCATATACTATGTGCATATGTTCATTAAAAGACATGCTAACCGTCATCATCTGAGCCTGTTAGAAAAAAAGGTACCGGTGGACTCAAGTCACAGGGTTGCCACAAACCTTCAGTCTGAACAAAACCCACAGCACCTGCAAAGCGCAACGCAGCAGAGATCGCGGCAGTGAGGTTTGCAGGAATGTGGTTCCAGCAACAACAGGGACCCCTGCCTTCCCCTGGGCAGTTAAGATGAGGACCCCCGGACTGGCCCTGCAGTCCTGGTGTGAACAACTTGAGGGTAAACATCTTAGGCTTGCTGTCAATTACTGAACCTTTAGAGTAAGTTCCCATACAGAACTCCCTTCTGCTAAAAACTCTACAAAGTTAATTCTGACAGAACAGTGAGGGGTAGAAAGACCCCGCCCCCACACCCTGCACACACACACAGTGAACCTGATCTGGCCAAAAGACCACAGTGGACAGAGGAGGGCAGGGAAGGACCCTTGATGGACCAGGTGAGGCAAGGGCACCCTACCAGGGGCGGCGCTCTCTGGGAAGGAACATGGAGGACTCAGCCTATGGTTTCGGTTTTCACCGCAGTCTTAGGTGCACACATACAAGGACACTTGAGGAGAAGCTGACCTGCTGACCCATGTTGACTCTGGTGAAACTGAAGGTGCTAAGGTGGGTGTTTGCTCCCCGCACGGCTGGCTCGATGGTCTCTCGGAACAACTTCTCTATAAATTGGCAGATAAAAGGCCACATGTGTTTTACAGTCTGCAAAAGAGAAAGAACTCAGGTAAAACAAAATGTTGTACACTCAGTGTACTTACATCATGATGAAAGTTTATGCACTCAGAGTTCACCAGAACTTTTGAAAATTAAAGGGAAGAGCTTTCTGTTATTCAAAAATCAACACAATTTAAAATTTTAAAATGTATCACAGCAATAAACTACTGATTAGCCAATATGCTATAGACATTAGTCGTTTTGGTAAAGCATTCTATTTAACCATGTCATTTAACCACACTTAATGATTGCTAAAAAACAGAAAATCAGAAAACCCTGTGGCTTCAATGCATCGTTAAAAACCTCCTAAAACTGAATAGACCTTAATAAACAAAAAGTGAGTTTTCTTTAAGGTGGACTAACGCCCAGACCCATGAGGGAAACACTGTCCACATCAGTCTTCACTCCACGGCTCTATGGACACATGAGATATGGGGATAGCAGACCTGCCTTAAAGTCCAGTGACCTACAAACAGAGCCTTTTGTAAAAGCATTAGATAATAGAAAGTATCTATTTCTAGGGTTATTTCCCTCTTCATAATGTTTCCAGAATTCTTCCTCATGACTATTATCTAGACCCAAGCAGGAGACAGAAGGTCAGAGAAACAGCTATGAACATCTCCCTGATTTTCCTGTATCGAAGGCAGTTTTCCCTGTTCAGAAGAAGAGAGCAACACATTGTTTGTGACTGAGCTCCTTGGGAGCAGAAGTCCCAGGGAGTTCACAGACTGTCAGTAGCCCAGCTCCCAAATATGGGAGGATGGCATCCCATCCCCTGTCCCACTGGTTCCGCATTCTGCTTCCTTACCTTATTTAGCCATTCTGCTCTTTCTGTGTCTGGAAAGTGAACCTACAAGGAAAACACACACACGTGACTGAGGGACCCCATCCCACCGGCCTGCTGTTTATGAAGCCTGGAAACGGCGGCTGGGGAGGGCTGGACTGTATGGCACTAGGCCTTACATTCTCCAAACACTCTGTGGCCGGAGAGCCTGGTGTCATCAAAGGCCCCAGGCCCTTACCCAGACCCCTGCCGGAGATGTCTGTCTCCCACACTCTCCCAAGGAGAACTGCACTCGAGTTTCCCGAGAGTCCCACCTGTGCACCAGAGAAGATGAGTGTTCCCAGAGGTGGGAAGAACCCATCAGGAAAAGAGGAGAACAAGTGCTTCCCCTGCTGTTGAAACGTAACCCTTGGGGAAGGAGGCTGAAGCTGCTCTCCTCCCGGAAACGCTCTGTCCTCCCCCGCCCCTCAGAAAAGGGCAGACAGCCCCACCCGCGTGCTTCAGAAAAGCACGTTTCCAACCGGAGGACAGTCAAAGGCCGGGGCCTTGCCTGGGAGTCCACATGCAGAAGAGTCAATGTGCCTGTAACCTGCCTGGAGACCAGATTGTTCCATTTTCAACAAAGGTGAAGACCACAGCACAAGGTGGTCAACAGAGCTGCGCTGTCTTCGAGCCTTTTATGTAAAAGGTGCAGGAGGTGAGGGAAGGTGGATGCGGAAGACCTGGTCCTTGCAGGGCTGAGCGACAGGTGACAACAAATCTCCCCCAAACCAAGCTTCTGGGAGACTGGTGCGGACAGCGAGTCATCAAACCCACCTCTGCTTGTTTGAAAGAATAAAAGCAAGGATCGATTGCTGAGCATGCATTGCACACATGTGCAGGTTCTGCGCTGACCTGCCCCCAGGCACCACCAGAGTGAATTCTCACAACAACCTACAACTAGGAACTAGTAGTATTCCAAGTTTACGGGACACCTTGGTGTCAGGATGGGGACAAAAGCCCAGAGTTGCCTGCCCGTGCTGTGGGGACAGACAGTCCACCGAGCCCACCAGGTTCTCACAAGGCACAGGCAGTGGGAGGGTGAAGCCTGAAACCCAGGCAGCTGCCTGACATGGCACGAATGGCTGGTGACAACCGGAAGTAGAAAACTGCGCTCTGCAGTGATCTCTTCACCTAGACTCTCGAGGTTAGATACAGCGTAAGTCCTGGAACAGCCGATCAAGTCCAGCAAACGGGACAGCCGTTCACAATGAAACGCGGTTATCAGACCCAGCGTTTCAGCCACGACTAAAAAGAGAAGGATTTAAAGACTGGTTTTTACTTAGTATGCACACTCCTTCCCAGGAAAAGGTTAGGGAAATTAAGTCAAACATTAAGAATGTCAAACTCCATGCGCATTCACCCTGTGACCCAGCGATCCCATTTCTGAGACACGATCTCAAAAACAGATACAAAAATGAGAAACGACGAGAGTGCAGCGCCATTTGTAACTGCGAAGACCAGAGAGAACCAAGGGCCGCCAGCGGGGGACTGGCAGGGCCCTCCCACGACGAAGCTGCCCAGCAAGAGGAGGAACAGGGAGGAGCCCCCGACCCCAATTCCCAGGACCATTTGGATGATGCCACAGAATAACGCCCAGGGTCTGTCTTAAAGTGAAAACACGGATAGAGAAAACCATGGATGAGTGGCCACCCTTCATCTCAGAAGAGGGGAAGGGAAGTGTGTGTGTATAATATAGGCTTGAAAAACCTTTTAAAAAATTTACATAAACTTTAAAAACTGTTTAGCTCAGGGCCAGGAAGAACAGAGTAGGAGAGATGAGTATGTGGTCGGGGTGAGGAGTCCAGTCGCCCTGCACTCACACCAGGCTTCCCCTCAGTGGCCCGGCCACAAGGTTGCAGAGCGCAACCCCCGCAAGCCCCTCCCCTCACCCGGCCATTGCTGTCCCCACATGAAACAGCACACACACGAGGAAAATCGAAACTCAGCTTTACAACAGAGGTCTGCCCAGAGCCACGCAACCAGAGTCAGGGTCCGACTCTCAGAATCGTACGGCCGCCTCAGCGGCCCCCTTCCCAGCATCCCAGCCCCAGAGAAGAACTGTCCACACAGGACATGCCACTTAACTCACCAAGTGGCCAGTAGGTATGAGTCCATATGCTTTCAGGTCAGTATATGGTACCAAACCCATTATGTGCAAATACCATCAAATGAGCTTCTATTTTCTATTAAATTCTTCATAAACTACAAGGAATTCCTGTCTGTTAATATAAGACATTGCCAGATTTTCAAATCCACCGAAATTCATTAAGAGAGGCCATATATTTTTAAAATACGGCATGCATGTTTGTACATAAGCATACTTTCAAGCTGCACACATTTATAAATGCAGAAAAAGTCTGCTAAGAGCACATATGGAACTGCTGTAACAAGGGGGTGACGAGGCTTTGACGTTTTCCTCTGTAATTCTGTTTGTTTGAATTTCTTTACAAAGCATAAACTACTTCTCTGGTTCCTATTGCAATTTAAGATAAAACTAAGAATTTTCTGACAGTACTATTTTTACACAATAAACAACTCTAAAATTACATGAAAACAGAATTTTCATAAATTAAGTCTATTTTAACCACATTGGAAACAAGACTCTCTTACCACGTAGGTGATCTACTTCAAATCTGACTTGAAAGAAAAATTCCCTGATACACCAGTTTCAAAGGCAAAGTGTAACTCCGCCAACTAGACAGGACACGACACCTACAGGGAACGTTCCAAAGGACCACGGCCGCGTCTCGAACACGGCGGATCTCTCTGTGGTCACTGCCTAGTCCCCAGGTTAGGTCCTGCCAGGTGCCACCAATTCCCACCCCACCCCCACCCCCCGCCTCCCTGAAAGCCAGAAGGACGCCACACGACAGTTGTTTCTCTCTGGCAAAGGGCGCCCTGGCCCCATGACTCACCTGGGGAGTGGGACTGTAGGCGACAGAAAAGCTCCTCCGTTCAGCGTCACGCAGCAGGACAGAAACACGGCTGGGCCAGCGGGACTTCTGCCCCTCTCACTGCGCTCGCTTCGCTGGGCTACTCCTCAGCCTACTGCACATGTGCAGATTGTTCTTTCTGAGCAATGGGCTGGAGAGAGTCTTTCCAGCAGTTACGGGGGTCTGACTCTGTGCCCAGAGCTAGGGATGCGATGCAGACTGGCCACACTCCTGTCCTCTGGCAGCTCATGGTTGGTGGACTGCAGTGGACTGGCCTGGTGAGGTGTGGCTGCCAGCTGGGAGTGGAGAAGCGGGGGGCAGGGGGAGGGCCTGGCACTAACTGGAAAGGGCCCCCAAGAGACTGGGGGAGGAGGCAGTAAGTGAGACGGGTGTGAAAGAATCAGCTGGGGGTTGCCACGCAGAAAAAAGAGAACATCCTAAGGGAAAATAATGGGGTTTGCAATGGACTCTGGCTGGCTTGGGTGACAGGAGAAATGGGAAGAGATAAAGCTGAGAGGGCAGGTCAAGACCAGCAGGCAAAGGAGTGTGATTTCATGCCACAGGCAACAGATCCCTCCTGGAGCTCCCAGTAGAGAAAGGACGCAGGGTCAGCAATGGAGGAGGTACTTTGCAGGACCCCGAGACCCATTCTGGAGCCACCAGAGGGGAGGGGGCAGAGCAGCCACCTGCACGAATAAGGCTCTGACATGAGAACACTGGCTCCCACTGTAGGAGTGTCACAGAAGACGGAGTTGGAAGGTCAAGCCTTCTCCTAGTGGTGGAATGGCGAGGCACTCAGTAGTTCTGAGGCTTTTAATTTTGAAGTGATTACTTCAAGGTGTCAAAGAAAGAGCGTATCAAAATTGAAGAAAGCAAATCTGTTACCAAATTTTAATTCTGTTCACTGAGCTGAAAATCTGCTCCTCAATAATACATATTCATAAACATTTGCTTAGGTTCCACAAAACAGAATTTAAAGTAGAAAAAACATCACAGAGAAAGGCTGGGAAAATAGAAAACATGTTCCTAACTCATGTGGGAGCACATGGACACATATTGTTGGGTTTCAAATCTTAATCTTTCGACTAAAAATAAAAAACAAGCAAAACCTCCCACTAAATCTCCTTTGTAAGTTTAATTACAAAACAAGTTTTCTTATCTATTTATATTGTCTCCACAAACTAGAAATAATCATTGTTTGATTGTCCAAGTTTTGATTATTTTTAAGAGTGGACACTGCCCACGAAATCTCTTTTTAACCTTATCTTTAAAAAGAACAAAGGCAGATCTGGGGTTCTAGGATGTTGACATTACCGAAGTCGTTTTGTTTAGAAAAAAAGTTAAACCAAATATTCAAAGACAGAACATTCACTGCAGGCCAGGCACTCTGCACACCACCCCACATCTCCCCTCCCAGCAGCCCCTGGGACACTGAACGGCTCCCATGACTGGTAACAAACACACTGTTCAAAGTCACGGGAAGTAAGCAGACTGGACCTGGAGGACCCTAAAGGCGCCCCCATCACACCTCACCAAGTATAAAGGAGTGAACAAATTTATAGAGCTGAAATTTCTAATGAAATCGTGTTTCCCATTTCTGAACATTAAAAAACAATGACATAGAACTTAAAATTAAATAAAGGAGCTGTCTTCACCCAGCGCCCCCTTGAAGACAGGGTCTGAGGCACCGATGCCTGCAGGGACCCAGCCTGAGCCCCACGGCTGCAGGCCTGACACAGGGCGTTTGGGGGCTGCAGTGAAACACACATTCCCTTCCTAACAAATCCAGAATAAGGGAATCCATGTCTGGAAAATGCGAAGAAAGATACATATCTTTACACCTGAGCATTAACAATTACCTTTAACTAAAACTCAAAAGACAATAGGTAAAGTGATCACTGTGGAAACCAAGTATTACTAAACCTCCAATAGTAAACTGGTCTATCAAGTTCATTTGTTCATATGCTTCCTCATTCCAACAAGGATTTGAGCTTTGGTCATTTCTGCATAGTTCTCTAGGCATTTATCTCAGGGGGAAAAGAAAGAAAGGAAGAAAGATTGGAGGGAGGGAAGACCGAACTCTTACTTGGA